GTACACCCTAGGGGCCTGAACTGGGCAGAGTGGGTGTGACGCATGCTCATCCTCAGTGGAAAGGAGAGCAGAGAGCCTTATAACTTGTGATCTGAAGGGCGTGGAAAGCACCTTAGGCACACAACCTCTTCTCGGTGCAAGGACAACTTTACTGTCATTAGGCCTAAACTTGAGACAAGATGCGTCCACTGAAAGTTCCTGCAAGTCGCGAACTTGCTTGACCGATGCCAAAGCTAGCATAAAGGTTGGTCTTTAGCAAAAGAGGCAGAAGGTTGGTTGCTGTGAGCGGGGGCCTCGAGTTGCCCTCGGGATTGTGGACCGGTCCCAGGATGGAGCCGTGTGGGGGTGAGGCAGATTCAGCCTCCTGGCCCCTCTGAGAAACTTGACATCCAAGTCGTTTCTCCAAACTGATTGGCCAGCCATAAGAATGTGGTTCGCTGCCACATATACCTTGAGCGTGGACAGGGAGGGTCCACTGTCCAGCAGCTCCTGTAGGAATGAGACTATAGATGCGACCTCACAAGATAGAGGGTCTATATTCTGGGATGCACACCAGCCAGAAAAATAGTTTTTAAGCATATAGGCGCCAGAGGTTGGCCTCGCCTCTGAGATCGTGTTTCCTCTCAGGAAAGATGTGAAGGTTCCCATTGAGGGGCGATAGATAGAGGCAACTCTATAACAAATTGCCAAATTGTTCCTCCCGCTTGGGAAAGGAGGTCCCCAATGGGATTGGCCATGGAGCTAGTGTTGCCAACTATTTTCAAAGGAAAGTAGCTAAGGCCTTCCCCAAAAGTCGCTAAATGTCGCTAGATGACATCATACGTCAATTAGCATATTAATGACGTCATCGCGTCGTACTTGCGTTCTGTCAGCCTAGTGCGTTTTCTCTCTAAATTAATGTTCTATTCAATATAATATAGCCGAATGTCAAATAAAGCTGTTCTCGTTTCCTATTTTTTTGTTGCCAGACAATTGAACGAGTAGCTATAATATAGTGAATGATTACATTTTTTATTGGCCTATGTGGAACATTATCTGAATGGGAACCGGATGAACTGTGATAGTGTTTACAAGTAATAAGCACAAGAAAAGAAATAAAATTAAAATGGTCAAACTAAATTCTTTAAATATAAAACAAAAGAAAAGCAGATAAGTGATAAGTCCATGGAAAAACACACTGCTCATTCGCGTCTGTCAGCGGCCGTGCGCTCCTCTCAGCCATTCACTGAACAGGGGAGACGCAGCTAGAGAGAGTGACGACAGGGAGAAAGCAAGACCTCGCGCTCGCAGGACAGTACTGGCAACATTTGGAGGTTACTGGGGTTTATCCAAAAAGTCGCTAAAATTGTCGCTAGTCGCTTTTTTGAAAAAATGTCGCTAAGGGGGTCTGAAAAGTCGCTAAAAATAGCGACAAAGGCGCTAAGTTGGCAACACTGCATGGAGCAGCTGATAGCAGCTGAACCATCCCTGAGTTCTGCCACCAGTATATATATATATATATTTATATATATTATATCTAGTATTTTTTTTATATTTAGAACAATTTTTTGTGTTATATCTTTATCGTCATCATTAAAGCCCATTCACACCAAGAACGATAACAATATTAGCCCGAAGCACAATATCGTTTTGTTTATTATAAGCGCACGCTGCAGTTTTGTCATCTGGCGCTTTAAATGCTCAAGCTCTTTCAAGCAAGATGGATTTTGATTGGCTGTCAATGTTTTTATCATCCATTAGCTGGTAAAAATCGCTCTGAAAGTAATTTCAACGACATCGTTCTGCTGTGAATTTATCATTGTAGTTGTGCTGTGGACTTTGCTATTCTTTTATATTTAAACCGATTTATCTTTATCGTTATAGTTATTGTCCTTGGTGTGAACTGGCCATTAGGCAACAGCCATTAGGTTGCTCCAAGGGGATCGTCTTTATAATAAGTAACTCGCTGATTAACTAGTACGATGCATTGTTGAAGAAATCAACTAGTCACGACTGTTTCCCGAAACCGTATTGTCGCAAAATTGTCGTTCAACCACTTTGGTTAATGATGTCACGCAGGTGGCGGAGTAATAACTTATTTTAATGAATCTGTTTGAGATCGAATTAATGCCAGATTTTTTGCTATAAATTATGGACATGCTTTTGAGGACTAAATCTAATTTTCTCAGGTATTTAGCTTTATTTGCAGATTCAATTGTTCTTACATGGGCTACTAGAGTACGTACACACATGCGCACTCTTAAAAAACAGCGCTTTAAATCTCTTGACAAACTAAGAGACGTAAATTACATTTTTATATATATTCGAAATAAAAGATATAGGTTGTACTGAATGTCAGCAAGCTTATTTTGCTCTAATAAGGATTTATAAGTCCACATGTCATGCAAACAAGAAACTACTAACCACAATTCAAGAGCTGTCGTTCCAACCACACTTTGCGATGCTGTTTGCGAATGTTCATTGAAACACCGACTCGTAGAACTACGTTCAGACCATGCTGACGATGCTTTTGGGAAACGCACCTAAAACATCTGCTAAATAGCTACCTGCTTAGAGAAAAGGCCCAAATCACATTTTAGACAATTAAAATGTCCCCTATTTAGAGCAGGCACCGTCTGCTTTTTGAGATTTTCTTGTTTTTGTTGGAAAGCTTTAGTTGAGGCCTGTGAGATAAGATATGGAGGTTTTTAGAAAGAAGTGGGTGGTTGCTCTGATTGCTAAGATGTTGAGTTGAAGAAAGAAAACAGCAAACACTTTTTATGTTTTGCTTTCCTGAAGTTCTCAGGCCCCACAAATAGCAACCCCACCCCTAAAAATAACAACACAACTTGATGGACATTAGATTCAAGACACAAGATCAAAGATATAACCAAAAAGATCACAGATAAGATTTTTTCCAGAAATGGTTGCATTTCTTTTTATACAGCAGGGTTTATATTACATTTATTTATATATATATATATATATATATTGTTTTTGCACATATGATGCCCTACTTGTTCATGTCAATTTGCCATCCTACTGGCAAAAACATGAAGTGGTTTACGTCAAAAGATTTACCCGTGACAATTGTTCAGTCATTCCAGCTTTGGCACTGTGCAATGAACCTGGCACACTGTTTTTCATGTTGGGTTTACATGAAAGACAGTGTGTTTGTACTGAATGTGATGGACTCATTATGCATTCGGTGTGTGTGTGTGTGTTGGGGGGGTTTGTGGCGTCATTGGCAGTTGTATAATAGCACTGCTGTGCTACCAAAGGTACTTTGGTGGGTGTGTCTCCCAAGCCTCCCATTTGCTGATTACACAGGGGCTCAGTGTTCCTTTCAGTGTTCAGTCTAAACACATGGCATGAATTAACTCAATTCACGTTCACCTACTCTACTGAAAAACCAAGAAAACTATTAAAACACATAACAAATCTTTTAAAATATATTTAAATATTTAAATCTTCTAAAATATAAGACATCCAATCTTTATTTGTGGACTCTATTTCACTTCTTTTTTTTTAAATCAGAGATTCACTATTTAGGAGACAAGATTCCCAATTTCACTAAACCAGGCTGGTGGATATTCAATAATGTGCAGTGGAATAGAAAGAGATAACAGATGAGAGCTCCAGAGAAATAAAATCATACATTACAATCAAACAATAAAAGTACAGTATAAACACATCACTGACAGAGCGAAGCATAACTAGCAGTGCAGTGAGATGAGTACAAACAAATTACAGCCAATTTGCTAAATGGTGTGTAGCAGTTTGAGCGGGGCTGCACAGTGTGAATGCTTTGGTTGCAATGGGACAGATGCTGTTAAGGGACGTAGTCAAATAATTCCAGAAAAAGTTCACCCCTCTCTGAGATTAAGTGTCTTGCTCTGGCACAACAGCAATAGATAGCATATTAAATTCTGCAGGTGATGCATCATCTCCATTTGAGAAAAAACAAGCAACCTTGGTATTGATGGCCCATGACCATTAACCTTTCAATTACTCACCCCACCCCACTAATTAACCCGTTGAAGGTTGTTTGCTATGCATTGGTGTTAATTTGCTAAATTAATTTGAGTCTCATTTGATTCAAATGTCTACACTGTCACATTTTGTGCAATCTTTGTGGGTCCATAAAAGTGGAACTAGGGGCCGTTTACCACACGCGACAACTTCAGTGCAAGTTTTTGAATATGATACCAAATCAAAATATGATACCAAAAAACGCTAATTTGTGAAAACGGTGATGCATATTAGGCTACATGTCTTTAAGCGCGTAGTGTTTCTTTACAATGTGACATCGCCAACTACTGGCCAGGCAAGCGATACAGCGTTTTTAGTTGTTATGGTGGATCCTGTTAACGGGATCATTTTGACAATGTTGTCATCTGTACATGAAAAATGCAAAGGAAAAACATCCATTTTGTTGTGTACCCTTAGAAAGTGTTACAAACTTCTAATCAACTATATATATATATATATATATATATATATATATATATATATATATTTAAAACAAGTCACCTAACACTTCTTAGTTTCCACAGCTTGTCTAAAAGAGTAAAAAAATTAGGCCTTTAAATTTAAATTTGACCTTAAATTTAAAAGATAATACTAATTAAGCTACACACTGAATGTTTTATCATTCATTTATATTTTATATACACCTCTACCTACATTGTACTGTATGTGCAGGTGAGCACACACCAGTCAAAAAGTGCAAAAGTACTAAATATAGTCACACAAACACATGCAGGTGTAGTGTTCCCTTATCAGTCTGTGTACTTACAGCAAGTTCGTCATATTTCGATGTTATCTGTTCGTGAGCATTTACATATTCATTTTCTCACTCCACCAAACCAAGTTAAATGGTCGTTGTCCCTGGTGAATCTTTGGGTACATCGCTGACGCTTTCTTCAGGGCTGAACTTTACACACACACACACACACACCCTCCTCCTCATACACTTCTTCCAGCACTCGTTAACTCCGTCTCCTCGTGGTTGCCATCTCCCCGCGGCGCGGAGGCGTTCCCACGCCGCTCAAATACAGCGCAGCGACGCGCGCCTGAATCACTTGGTTTGTCAGAGCGCGCAGAGTGAGGTAAGCAGAGCCGCGCGGCCCACGCCAGGAGAACATGCGTTTGCCTCGTTTCATAGCCAATCCCGACATTGTAAAAGAGCGCGTTGGTTTCAGTGTATAGTGAAGCGTCCCTACCGCTACAATTTCGATTTTACTGAAAAACGGCTTACGAGGAGACAAAAAGTACGAGGTTTGGACGTCTACTTGCCGTTCAGCTGTTTGTGGAGGACGCATGATTTATCTGTGCCGGACCAAAAGCGAAGCGTGCATGAAAGGTGAGTCTTTTACGGAATTGTATTTGGAAATGAAGTGTACACAGTTTAAGGAACTTTATTTGTGCGCATAAGGTTTTTTTGTTCTGTCATCCTTGTTATAGCCTACATTAGTTTAAGATGGTCTTTCAGCCTAAACCGATGAAAAGTAGAGTGGTCTCATCTAATTTTTTCTTTTTTTTTAGTTGACCATTTTTTTATTTGTCTTTATGCAGTAACCTAATATATGTCTGTCAGACTCAATTCAACAATTACTATAACATTTTATATATTTTTTGACCTTATCAAAAAAACAGGCTGGAAGAAGTGTAAGCAATTTTTGGGCATTTTTCCCCCCGCCATATAGTAGGTCATCAATATCATATCAGTATTGGCATGAATGGCATCCGTTATTTAAAAAAACAACAACAACATAGTGATTCAACCACTATGAAGTAATAGCACCGATTTGTAATAATCAACTCTTCAAGGCTTGTGGGTGACCACAGTGAATCTCTGACTAAAGTTCAATACAGACTTTTAAAGTCAGTTAAAGCTGTTTTTCCTCCATGTTGACAACAGCATGTTTAAAAAAGTGTATCTATTATTAGCTGCAACTAGAGGATAACAATCAGAATGACTTTACATGTACGTCTAGTTGCCTACTGTATTTGACTATGAACGTCCTTATCATGCGAGTACATCTGAGTGTCTCTTGACAACAAATGAGGCAACATCACAGACAAATGTAATATAATTATTCAAATGTAGTGAACAAAAAAAAAAGCCATTTCAGACATGGTTCACAAATCTCATTCTGGGTCAGATGTTTACAAAGGTTGGCTGACTGAGAGGTCATTTCCTTACAGGTGTGTGCACTGTATGTGTCTAGTTGCCTCTAGATCAAATCAGTCTAGGTTATTTTGTGTTGGCATTCCTTACATGACACGCTACACACCATTGTCTTTGGGACAAGAAATATTTTGAAGGTGGCGGGATGTCGTCTAAAGCTGTTTCCTGTAGAAAGTTTCTCTTCAATAGGCATCAGAGCTAAAAACAGTTGGACGTCTGAGTGGTGACCAACATCAGAAGCCTCTGGGAATGCTCAAATAATGGGCCAGGAAAAAGACAGCAGGAAAAAAAAAAGTGCAGCACAATGGTATCGGCCACATGGCCAACACAATGTGGGAATAAAAGTGAGGCTTGTTTTCTGGAGCACAAGACAATGGGAAAAAAAAAACCCGGCTTCAAGTGTTACATAATTTCTGCAAGGTGGAACTTCAACACCCGTCCATGCATTTGGACTTGACCTAATGAGGCCCTCAAGGGTTTTGTTAAAGTACATGTTAGAAATGGGTGGTGTGCATGTTTCTACATACTAAGTATATACTTATGGGATACACTTGTGCTTGGTCATCAGTTTCTTGGTCAGAAACTTGGGATGCATGATATATATATTGGTACCATATTGATTATCAGCCAGTATTAGAAATGTATTCATATGTATTCAATAATGTGTTTCGGACCGTATTTAATTATGTGTGTGCTCATTTCCTCTATTTTTACATTTAGATTACATATGCTGTGAATTAACTCTAAAATTAATCTTTAAAAACACAAATTTAATGACACTTAAATTTAATATTTATTGAATGTTCTGATGCCTAAATTCACTTTTAGTTTGTATTTATACATTTTAATGTTGGTCATTTTGCAGTTATCAGCCATAAGGTAAAATAATTAGTGGCTTATCCGTTTTGGGCAGGTTTTTTAAATTTGTCCATCCCCACTCATCTAAACATGAACAAAATGTTAAGCCCCTTCAACATGGTGTGAAGCTGCTAAATTGAAGTGGAAAGTACTTCTCGATGTCCCCCCCCCCCCCCCCCCCCCCCCACACACACAAACACACACACACACACACACACACACACACAGAGGTTCATTAACGTCCTTTTTCCAGCAAAGTGTCTCGGATGACTCACAGACGTTCTTCCACTCTTGCTAGACTCAAATGTGGCCTGTTTAATATTTGAAGCTCCTGTGCTGCATGCAGGAGGACACAATGCACACGTGTGTGTTAATGCTTGACTGAAACTGATCCTATCCTGAGATCATTGGTGTGGGTTTATTTGTGACCATTTTTCCATGTAAAAGCTCACATAGTTGCACTCTGATTGCAACATAAGAACATAATATTCTGGGTAATTTTTATACTTAAACATGTAAATATTGTGTGGCTAAAAATATAAAAGGAGTGAAAAAACCTGGTAATAAAAAGTAACACTTAGGCCACACTTGAGTGAGTAGGGCTTTTTTCTTTACCCAAAAGACAGTTTCAATCATACTTGATTTTTTAAAATGTGTTTTCCAGTTGTGTTGTGATTTGAGTTTGACAGTTTCTTTCTCTTCCTCCTCTGTTTCAGATCTCAAGGCTATACTCTGCTGCGCCACACTGGGAGGCTTACTGGATAAGCAGGAGAAGGATCCCTGTGACTCCAAAAAAGCTCCACTTTTATCTTCTCCCACGATGGCTCTGGCCTCTTTCCAACTGATGCAAACTCTAAAGAACTCACCGGCGGCTCTGCGTCGGCGATTCCGTCGGGACCGTACGGAGAGCCTCTCTCATGGCGATCCCCTTTTCAAAGTGCACTACCTCGGCACCAAAAAGATCTTCTCCCTGGACTTAGAACAGGCGGAGGAAGCCATCGACCGACTGCTGGACGGGGCCCCCGGGAAGCTTTCTAAAGACCATGCCCTGGTAGTGCGGCCCCGATACGTTGAAGTTAAAGAACTGAGCACCGGAAGGCAGCTCACTAAGACTTACTTGCAGGACATCGCGTACTGCGCCTCGCACACGGCCAGACCCAATGTTTTTCTGTACATCTGCAGGCAGCCCGGTCAGCAACTGCAATGCAGAGTGTTCTGGTGCAGTCGGGCAGAAAGGGCTAAGGACATGACCGCCTGCCTAGCGAGGTCGTTTCAGCGAGCGCTCAATGACTGGCAGGGTGGATGCGCCACCTTACCGCAGGGGGACGGGATCGCTAAAGAGCCGGAGATGCCTGGTACGCCCACTGCACCCAGAGGGTCAACATTGCCAGCCAGTTTGGGAAAAGGTGAGTTGAAGAGGGACAAAGTGAAGGCTGATGAGTGCAAGATTTCTGTAGCTCACATGTGCCACTGTCCTGCAGAGTTGTAGCTCCAAAACTCCTTCCTGGAAGTTTCTAACAACCCTGAAGATCTTCAATTGCTGGTTCAGGAGTGTTTGTTTAAGGTTGGAGCTAAACTCTGCAGGATAGTGGCTCTCCAGGAACTGAGTATGTAGCTCAATCAGCATGGTGCTAGCAATGCCAATGTCATGGGTTCAATTTCCAGGGAATGCGTGAACTGATCAAATGTGTACCTTGAATGCAATGCAAGTTGCTTGGGATGGAAGCATCTGCCAAATGCATTAATGTTAATGAGTGCAATGAGGAATGCAAGCACTGGAACAGGGGTTCTCTTCTCAACTCTGGCCCTTGAAATCAATTTTCCAGAGGTTTTGCTCTAACCCTGATCTAACTAACCTTCCTGTAGCCTTCTAGTAATCCTGAAGACCTTGATTCACTTGTTCAGGTGTGTTTGATTGGGTTTGGAGCAGGACAGTGGATCTCGAGAGCCAGAGTTGAGAACTTCTGCACTAGAATCTTGTAAAATTCAAATTTCCTCAATGTTTTGGTTTCCGTTTCAAAGTTGTAACTGTATTTTGTTTTGTGTTGCAGTCCGTTGGAAGAAGAGGGGGTCGGTGTCCCACAGTCCTCTCCGTGCCATCACCAGAAGAGGTTCTGCCAGTGACAACTGGCATTGACAGTTTAATTTTGTGATGCCTGGGAATTTCCACAATTGAATGTGAGGAAAAGGACAACCACGCCTACAACTGGTGGAACTTTTGAGCTTTGATGGAGTTTGCAACTCAAGCTTGTGCCGAGTCTGTGTCTGTACAGCTAACACATTTGAGGTTACCAATTTACCAAAGTGATAAACTATAGGTTTCCAGAGATCATTATTCGTGGTTTAGGAAGTTGATGGATTCAGTCGTTTTATTTCTGTTTGCTTAAGGACTAAGAGACAAAACCAAAGCTGTTCATCTGCACTGAACTGGTATCTAGTTTTAAAGCCGTGTATGTATCACAGAGTTGAGTGTTTCTAGTCGGTCTCCTCCTCTGTGTACATGTCTGGGTAGTTTGTTAATGTGACTGATGAGCAAAGAGACCGTTTTTGTTTGTATTAGACGTATGAAGAGAGGATCCGTGTGGAAAGTGGGTGGATGCATGATGGTAAACAGTAGCACGATCAGAACGTCAGCGTTAAAGCGGTTTAAAAGTGTTTCTATCCCAAATGCACAATGGAAGTAATGCTTTTTATGGTAAAGACAATCAGCTTTTTATCCTACACTACTGTATGCTTCCAAGTGCTCTTTTTCATATGGCCAAATCTCTACACAATGATATTGAATTCATATCCTCCATGTGAACATCATTCATGGGGAATTATTTGCTGCATATTTACTTGGCATCAGGACCGACTTGACAATCAGGACTGGTTGTAATTTGGCATTGGAAAGACGGAGGTACTGAGATTTTTGTTTCTGGTGGTCTTGTCTTATAGCCATATCATGCTTTGCCGGGTTCTACCTCAGTTTGCCATTTTTATTCATAGCTTCTAATTCCCAACAGATAATGAACTGTAGAGGTAATGGTATTACTCTGAAAACGAGAAGTATTCTCTATGCACCTGCATTCCAGCAGTTTTTGAGGCCATAACCCCCCTTTTTCCTATTTTCTTTTTTTCTGTAACTGCAAGTTTTTACAACATCAGCCCATTTTTCTTAAAAAAGAAAAAAAAGCCAACTGTCTCCAGGCAACCGCTTATGACATCAGAATGCTGACTGATTCAAAGGTATGTTTGCATAGAGCGTCATGTCCTTGAAAAAGCAGCATCGTTGCACTGCAGTTGCATGTAGTTATAAAGCGCAAGGAAGCATTTTTAAGTGGCCTGGTTGCATAAGTATTTTAAAACAAGGACACTCTGCTTCGCATGACTGGAACAATCAAGTTTTCCTAGTACAAAGATTGTCTAGCACTTTCCTTCACACTGTTACATATGCTTACTGAGAATTGTATCATATATCACAGTAGTCAGTGACTCATGGTATTAAACATTGTGCCTGATGCGTTAGGGCAATTACGTCAAAGGATTTTATCCTTATGGATTTTATTTAAAGTTGTATTAAACCATATCTGGCGCTACAAAGACTTAAGGTCTGTTGTTGGATCTGTTCTGTCTGCTTTATGAGGTGTTTAATGTTCTATGAATGTTCTTGTACCTTATTTTAAAACTATTTGCGTGTACCTATTTAAATATGAAATGTATTTTATGGAATATTAAACTTTTTATACATGAAATGTTTGTGTCTTATATTCTATTCACTTTATAAACAGACAAAAGACTCTAAAAATAAAGGTTCTTTATTGGCATTGATGGTTACATGAAGAACCTTTAACATCCATGAAACCTTTTCATTGCACAGAAGGCTCTTAATAGTGGGAAAAAGTGTGAAGAATTAAGAGAATCAATATATCAAAAGAAAAAATAGAGCCTCTGCTTTAAAAATAAAGGTTTATTCTAGCTTAATGCGTTCTTTTTTATCAACATTTGAATGTGGGTAAGTTTCATTAAAAAAAGCAACATTTTGAGCAAAAAGCTGAAAAAAAAACAGTTTTTGTCAGAGACCACGTCCAGATCGGATTCAGAACGATGATCAAAACACAGATGAAGTAGATCGAGTCCGTCAACACCCCCAGAAGCTTCACAGTCCAACAGTCCTGGGTCGACATTTCATTCGGTAACATTAGGCAGTTTTGATTTCGATGCTGTTTAATGTTGATCATGTTATTTTACATGTGCATCTGCTTACATATAGAAGGGATAGAGTTAACAGTGAAGACACCAAGAACTTCTAAGGGTACGTTTACACGAAAACACTGTACTTAAAACATGTTTTTTTTTGCGTACAGACAACCATGTTGTCAAAACGATCCCAGTTCACACGGGTTCATGAAAACGACTAAAAACTCTGTATTCTGCATGTCAGGTCAGTAATTGGCAATGTCACATTGTAAAGAAACACTAACACACACATTCAGTGACTATAACAGTATTCAAAAACTTGCACTTGCACACCTGTTTTTAAGTTCGCATTTTCCGGGCCCCAAAACGCTGTTGTCGGCCAAAAGCATAAAAAGTTTTCCGTTTTTAGTAGAAAACGGTGTCGTGCAAACGGCCCCTAAAACGCCAGTGTTTTCCTTGACTTCCAGGACAGTCTACATCCTTAAAGAGGGAGCAGTTTCTTCATAAGTCATGGGGCGCAAATCTTTTAATGCGAGGGATTAAAATACTCCTGGTCTGATTTCATAACTTTTCAATACGTGCTGTGGTTCGCAAAAACATGCCATGGCTGACATTTAGGAGCTTAAAGCCATGGGGCTAAAGCTGTCATTATTAAACCTCTTTATTTACACAAATTAATGTTTCTTAGTATCAAAATAAATAAAGAACAAAACATACTGTATTAGTTCATGGTTTAACTTGTAACCGTTCTAGATTGTGACGTTTGGAGTTTTAGGCCAATTGTTAAAATCCTCTAGAGTTGAAAACCCTTGCATGCTGTTGTATTTTGAAGCATCAGTTCTCATTCGTCGGGTAAGTGACTTGAAGTCCTGTGAAACCGGTCACTGCCTTGAAACTTCTGGAACTCAGAGAGGCTTTGGAAATGAAGTCGTCTCAATGGCACCAACTCTGCCACAACTAAGAAACATAGAGGATGATGGTAAAAAAAGAAACTAGCCTAAGGCCTGTTTTTCACAAACTGATAAAAGCTGTGGCTCTAGCAAAAAAGAAAGTGATTATACAATACATTAGTGATTATATGCAACAGACACAGGATGTATTGTACGACTGGAGAAACTGGAAGAACTGGAAGAGAGAAAACAACTCTGAGAAAACAAAGGAATTAACATTTTAACTCTCTCTTGCGAAATTAGCATTCCCATCCAAGACACATTCACACCGAGTCAATCACCTCAGTATTGTTTTAATTTGCTCTCTCATCACTTGAAATTCACCCAAAAATTTGAATGTGAACAATCATCATACAACACTATACATGATTGGGCAGGCCTTACAATAGTAGCCTATGAATCAAGCCTAAGACTTCGCTGTGTATAGATTTTTTTATTGCTTTTCTTACACGCCTTATCTTGTGAGCACAAGGACAAAAGAACTTTCAAAATGTTTGGATCCTGATTTCCCGGACTCCAAACTTTCAAAGAAATTCAAGCTCTGTGCTCACCCAGATCATAGAACGGTTCCTCTCGGCTTCCCTGAACCACAATCATCTCCAGGAAATTCAGGAGGGCCCCGGTGGCCAGGAAGCGCTCTGGGAGGGACAGGGTTTGGAGGTAGCGCATGTCCAGAGAGAAGGGGTTGTCGGGAGGCGGCATGGTGCACAGTCCCACCAACTCACTCACTACGTCCCATACATGAGTTCCTGCAGGGCAGAGACATGTTTAGTAAGGCTCTTCTAAGGGTACGTTTACAGGACAACTATGTACTAAAAATGGTGTTTTGCGTTTTTCGCGTGCAGAAGACAACGTTGTCCACAATCTGAAGACTGACTTGTGACGCAGCCTGAATCATAATCACACACTGTTCGTTCGTTGGCCAGAGGAGAACTGAGCCTGGTTTCTCCCAAGGTTTTTTTCCTCCATTCTGTCACCTGATGGAGTTTGGGTTTCCTGCCACTGTCGCCTCTGGCTTGCTTAGTCGGGGACACTTAATATTCGACAACAATATTATTGATCTGACTGTACTGATGAGAACTGAACTGAGCTGGACAATGACATCACTGTTTTCTGTAGAACTGCTTTTTTAGATGAAATTAACTAATTTAATAATTGATGATCTTTAAAACGTAACTGATTTAACACTGAACTGACTTCAGCTGAACAACTTTTAGAGCTGCTGTACAGCCGAAATGAACTGTTTTCATCATTGAATAATTTTTCTGTTATCACTGTAAAGCTGCTTTGAAACAATCTGTATTGTATAAAGTGTTATGTAAATAAAGGTGACTTGACGTTCACACGGAACTAAAAACGCTGTATCATTCATGCCAGGCCAGTAGGTGGCGATGTCACTTTGTAAAGAAACACTACACGTCTATAGACTGAACACTTAATACCATAGACAGTATAAGAAGTGGACAGAGCCATCTCATTGGAACTCAGTTGAGACAGTTGAAGCCCATTTTTAGCGATTTTTGAGCACTTCCGTTCCTGACGCGCAGACTCAAACCGACTCAAACTAAGCTTGATGACGTGAGCAACCTGTCTGACAGACGTTAATCTTCTAGTAGCTGTGCGTGAAAATTGCCAACGTTAATCTTGCAGAGACGGGGAACTTGAGCAAAGAGTTCTTTGGCGTGAGTGAGCAGGAGTAAGTATTCCGTTGCTTTTATGGACTCATTATCTATGGGCTTCTCTCTTGACGGGACGTCCCCCCGATTGCCTGCGAGCTTCTCCTGCTGTCTGTACGGTAATTTCTGTACAGCGCGACAGAGAGTCGAGTGGTTATGACGCAATCGTTAGCCTATTTTTACTAAATCTGTTTCTACGGGGCCATAATGTAACATAGAAGGTAATGGAGCCCTTTATACATTGTCGTGTTTCTTTAGAAATAAACAATGGACAAATGGAGTCTTTAAACGCCTCAGATGTAAAGTTATTCGCTGTCAAAGTGACGCCAAAATGAATGGGAGTCAATGGAAATGCTAACCCAAGTGAAGTTCTGCTACAACATGGCGGCACCCGGCCGGCTTCAACTTCCGGTCGATGGATTACCCCCTTGCTTAATACTCATGCGAGTGTCACTGTTTTCACAGATTCGCATTTTTGTGGTTTACACGGAGATGATAACGGTATCGTTTTCAAAAACGTGCACTTTGAAACCTATTTTTTTTTAAATGTGCATTTTTTAGGCCCCAAAAACACTGTTGTAAAGTAAATGAACGGCTAAAACGCATCATTTTTAGTTGAAAATTAAAACTTCATTATAACCAGGGGCCATTTACACAACACCGTTTTCAACTAAAAACTTTTTATGCGTTTCAAAGTGCAAGTATTTGAAAAACGGCTGAATGATTTTGGAAAATAATCTAATTTCGATTTTTTTTTAACCAATATTGCGATTGTGACTTAATATGCAATTATTTTTTAAGCTCTTGATCTTCTGTATTATTCAACAAAGACAAGCAATAAATCATTGTATAGTAGTGGTGGTAATCTTTCCGAATCCATTTCCGATTCTGGGAGTCATGATCCGATTCCAAAAGAAATATTGATCTCCTTTTTTTTCATATTAATAAATCTTATTAATAAAACTTAATAATACAGCGTTTTTAGTTAATGGATCATTTTGACAATGTTGTCTTCTGTACACGAAAAAACACAAAGGAAAAACTTTTCCATGTTTAGTACATCATTGTTGTGAAAGCGTACAGTTTAGTTCTGTTGCTAAATTTGAGGTAAAGGCAAGATGTTTGCTGCGTTAATAAGTATTATGGTAACACACAACTCTTTGTATGTACAACCACCATAAGCCACAAAAATAAGGCATATGTGCATTCATACGTACATCATCTTTAACGTTTTAAATATTTCTAAACCTTGAGCCAGGAACATAAAGAAATGGTGTATATAATAAAATAGTGAAATTATGGCCAATAAAAATCTTAAACCTTGGGGTGTTGAAACCCAGTCTGTGACTGACTTAAGTTTCATTGGTGTGTCCTTGACTAGCGTATCAGTTCCTCCAACGTTTACTAGGCGCTCGTGATTGGATCTAATCCAGGCATAAGGTTGCCCATACTTGGCATAGCCGGCTAACAGGAACAGGGTGCAGTTCATTTCCTGCAATGAGAGAAAAACTCTTTTGAGACCCTTGACTACTGCTAGACAATCAGAAATGTTGTCTTGATATCTTAAAGAAAACTCAAAAGTCAAAGGGAAAATACAAGGGTGCACTATGACTATGCAACCTATATTGTATTTCATCTTTATGTCTTCTCTAATCAATTTCCCAGTGTATTTTAGGATTAGTAATGTTCTTAAAGGGTTAGTTCACCCAAAAATGAAAAATCTGTCAGTAATTACTCACCCTCATGTTGTTCCAACCCCGTAAGACTTTCGTTCATCTCCGGAACACAAATTAAGATATTTTTGATTATATCTGAGAGCTGGATCACTCCTCCATGTTGCACGTCACACGCATCACACACATGACCAGCGTCGGCCAATAGTGAGCCTACGTGTGACGTACAACACAGAAGCGCTGCGCAGTTACACTACGTGAAATATCACGGCCGTACAGAGAAGGAAATGAATAGTTGAATAAAGTCGTTATTTTATTTTGTTATTTTTTTGCGCACAAAAATATTCTCGTCGCTTGATAAACTTAAGGTTGAGCCACTGTAGTCACTTGGACTATTTTAACGATGTCTTTAATAACTTTTCTGGGACGGCAAGTTTCAATCCCTTAAGAAGTCTATGAAGGAGTGATCCAGCTCTCAGATATAATCAAAAATATCTTAATTTGTGTTACGAAGATGAACGAAAGTCTTACGGGGTTGGAACAACATGAGGGTGAGTAATTACTGACAGATTTTTTATTTTTGGGTGAACTCTCCCTTTAATCTGGGAATTTGACATTAGTTCTTGAAGTCTGCGAATCTGAAACGATACTCACAGGAACAGCGATCTCTTTCTCACTTGGTGAGGCTGGGAGAAGATGAGAATCAACATCCCTATAAGTGAATAATGAAAAGAATGGATTTACAGCATTTGGTTTATAATTGCTGGAGTGAGTCGAAGGATATTTCCTCTCCACCTGCTGGGAGTGTGTTGCGGTGTGGCCTCGGGCGTCTGGTGTTCGTGCTGTGGAAGTGGTTCTTCTCCTGCTAAAGGTGAGCTGGCGTAATCGCTGTCCAGACTGTAACTGCTACTGCAGGTTGAGCTGGTGAAGGTGGAGGCCACAGACACTGCGAACCCAGGAGAACGCCATCTCTGTGAGCAAAGAAAGACGAAGCCATCAGATGTAACTATCACTGATGCTGCAGCAGTTCTTTCCAGAGATATACTAGTATGTGTTTATAGAAGTTTGTAGCTGTGCTACAACTGATGACTTAAAGGGACAGTTCACCCAAAAAATGAAAATTCTGTAAGAATTAGTAAGACCTGTAAGACTTTCGTTCATCTTCAGAACACAAATGAAGATCTTTTTGATAAAATCTGAGAGATTTCTGTCCCTCCATTGACAGCTACACAACTACCACTCATATGAATTGAGTGGTTTAGTCTAAAATTTCTGAAAAGACACAATCGCTTTATATGATTAACAGATTGAATTTATACTTTTATTTACTGTACATTAACATTCATCAACTCACACATCAGATGTGGTAAACGGAAGCTCAAGCATGTTCGCTTGACGTGCGAGATCCAATGAGGTTCATTCTCATGTTACGCATCACATTTGAGCTTTATGTTCGCTGATCAGTGTTTATATGTGAATAAAAGCCTAAATTCAATCAGTTCATCATATAAAGCAATCGTGTCTCTTCAGAAAATTTGAACTAAACCGCTCAATTCATTTGGATTAGTTTTACGATCTATTTATGAACTTTCTGAAGTGTCAAAGTGGTAGTTGCGTAGCTGTCATGGAGGGACAGAAAGATCTCAGATTTCATCAAAATGAAAATATTTGTGTTACAAAGATGAACGAAAGTCTTATGAGTTTAAAATGACCTGAGGGGGAGTAATTAATGACAGCACTTTCATTTTGGGGTGAACTATCCCTTTAACATCTCCAAACATCTTAAACTTTTAGATATAAAAACTGTCTGAGAGAAAATAAAGAGAGATAAATAGATTAACGGAGACCCTACCGAGTCATCGTTGACTACGGTCAACAGAAGTTCCTCTCTCCCTCTTAGCCAGGGCTGAAAATAATGGAAGCCCTACAGACAGACATAAAAGACTGAAAACAGTGGAAAGATATTTTTTCTTCTACTTCTTCTGAGACTAAATTTAAACAGTATCTCTTCCTAGAGATTTCAGACCTTCAGACTTGGTATGCTATATATTTTCTAACTGATCCAACTTACGATTTCCGTTAAGCAGACGATCAAACTATGAAAGGTCCCATAGACTTTCATTAAGGGGGTCAAGACTTTTGCACAAAAAGACTTATACGCTACTTATACGTTATACTTGAGTAGGTACCGCATTTGAATATGAGATTCAAATACCTATAAAACCTATAAAAGTACGCTCTACTGTATATAGTGTGAGTGTGTGTAGTATGAATGTAATCTGGAGGTACTACATCTGCCATGTTGTCATTTTCATGTGACCTACCAGTTGCGTCGCTTCACTGCCATTCATAAATCCTCTCACGTGGCCTCATGGGACAGTAAAGTGTCCAGTGAAGAAGTAGTAGGTCATCAGGGGACTTTTTACATAGGCCTACCGTTTTTCGAATCCTATGGATTCGGACATACTACTCTGTTGGCGTACTGTTTTTCACATGCTATATAGTAGAGAAATATTCGATTTTGGACGCAGCAAGTAATTAAGATAGCAAAGCTTAATGACTATCCTAGGACAACATGCTAAAACATGCTAGTAACATGCTAATTCATGCTAGCAATGTGCTACACATTCGTATAGTAGTTATATGCAGTCCTTTGGCATCTACCTGTGGTATTTAGCAGCATGCTAAAACATGCTAACAACTTGTTAAATAATGCTAGCAACATGTTAATCATGCTTGGATGCTTGCAAACATGCTAATTTATGCTAGCCACATGGTAGTGACATGCTAATCATGTTAGCAACATGCAAAGAAATGTTAACAACGTGTTAAATCATTCTAGCAACATGCTAACAACATGATAGCAATGTTAAATCATGCTAGTAACATGTTAAATCATGTCAGCAACAAATGCTGAATTATGTTAACAAACTGTTTAAACATGCTAGCAACTTGCTAATTCATGCTAGCAGCATGTTAATTCATGCTAGCGACATACTAATCATGCTAGCAACATGTTAAATCATGCTAACAGCATGCTATAAACACAGTTGCAATGTGCTTTTAAGTTATTTCAAACTTTCAGAAAAGGCTTTGTGAACAAACTCTGATGTTGCCTTGACAAACTTCACTGATCTATGAAATTATAGTATTAGGCTATTCAGTACCAGCCCACCTGTAAAGAACCCAATATTGCAAGTTCGGACAGAAAGTGCTGGAGTCTCGTCATGTGTTCTTGTTCCTGCATATGTCAAAAAAGCAAACAGTTTATCTAATTAGCTGTTATTGTATTGTACACAATACACACTTGTATAACAAATTGTTTTTAATCTTGAATGAACAGGATTTGATGAAGCCCACATCTAAAGGGCTCGTTGCTCCGTTACTAGGCAACTGCAGCCAAGCCTGTCATTGCCAGCGATGGGTTAGGAGGAAAATAAAAAACCCTTGTATTTAGTAGCCTATGAGTTTACAAATTTTGTTTTCTCCTGACACGTCATTATAATACGACATTTGCAACACCGTTTGTAAATTACTGTCAAACAATATCTTACCGCAAAAACGTTTGTTTGAGCATATATGATGCATGCAATCAAGCACATTTTATACTTACACCAGAACTCATGTTTACATGCACGCCGATGGACAATCAAACCACTTGTAAATGTGATGCATTTACATTGGACAAATTACTGCAAGCACACTGCATGTCACGCCTATTTCCATATCCTCTTCGTCTCCCCCTTACTATAGGCTACATTGTGTCACTGTCCTTGGAAATTAATAATGCAAGCAATAATCTCTCATAATGTTTTTCATCCACGGGTATGGGTGTATGGGAATTCAGATCTTATTATTTTGTATTTCTCGCGTTGCTCATTGTGCAGATGCTTATCCATCCAAGGGATCTGCTGCGTGTTGTGCTCTCAAAGAAAAACGTAAAATATCACATCGCCCCATGTGTAAATACTTTCAATGTATTTGTGGAGAGTAACGTTTAAAATACCATTAAAGGATTCATAAGTCAAATAAAATCAAATCCAGCACGAATAGTCAATGACGTTTGAAAGATGTTACATCAGTGCACAGATTTAGGTTCAGTCATATGACCAACATGCAAAATCTGTATAGCCACGTGATTTTTTATAGCCAACTGCCGTTTTGTGTTCTGTTATAAGAATTAGGCCAATTAATGTTTAATGGATTGCATTTGCTCTGTGGTACGGCACTGTAATTTAGCAACTGGTATGTTATTATTTTCATTTAGCCACATTGTCAGGTTATTAGCTAGGCTACTTATGGCCTAATAACTATGTTAACTGATTAAAAAAAATATGAACAATCTCGGCAGTATTAATGCTTGATATGTGAAACCGTGGTTTGACTTAAATAGGTTAAAGGGATAAGGGGATAAAGGGATAAATATATTTAAGGGTTCATCTTCAGAACACACAATATCTGTTCATGCAACCCGATCACACTAATCGTGTAATTTATACGCTAAAATGAGTTTTTACGTCCATAGGATAGCCTACGCATATGCCCACACCACTACTAAACCTACCCTAACCAACCCATGCGTAGGCTATCCGTGTGGGGTACGTGTGTAATATACGTTTAGGTAGAATTAGTGGTGTGGGGTGCGTGTGTATTACACTCAAATGAACTGCGTATCAAATGCACGCGAAAACTGCGTATCATATGCACGTAAAAACTCATTTTCGCGTATAAATTGCACGATAATACACAATGCGTGCTATGGGATTGAGTCTCTTCAGATTAAACGCTCAATATGGGTTAGTTTTACGATCTCTTTATGAACCCTTTGAAGCGTCAAAGACAGTTGTGTAGCTGTCAATGGAGGTATAGAAATCGTTTATATTTCATTTAAAAGATCTTAATTTGTGTTTATGAGGGTGAGAAATTAATGACAACATTTTTTTTTAAATTTTTTTGGTGAACTATCCCTTTAAGCAGGGGTTTAGATGGTTGTGGTGGTCTCCAAGCCTGACCAGATCTAACAAGTGCCCAAATAAACCGCTCTAAAACCAACAAACCAGACAGCAGTCTCCCATGCACAGATGAAATTACCTTTGCCAAATAAGTGGGTTCTTTCGCACATTTTCATGTATTCATTCTGTTTCATCTGTTTATCAAAAAACGGCTTTTTCATAATTTCAGCACATTAATCAATAATAGCCTTGATTAATGTGCTGAAAGGTCACAATCTCTAGCTGTTCAATTCTGTGTTGACTTGAATTCAACAGTCGACAGACAAATGACTCAGTGCACATATCAAGCACAGTGATGTCAACCTGCTGCCCACAACAGGAAGTGAACACAATAGCAGCCGCCCAAAGCTGCCAGAAGAGACCCAGTGGAATGTGTTTTGTCTACTACAAATATTCTACAGAATACATTATGTACTTTTTGTTTTAATCAGGGATTTTATTAATTGTTCTACTTTATAATACCAAACACTGTGCCAATGTAATTATAAGTTTCTAAGTTTAAATATATGGGACAGTAAAAAAACAACAACAACATGATTCTAGTCAAAAACTGCAAATATGTATTGCACATCAAGAGTATAGCATAAACTAATTTGCATCTCGGGTCCATAGAAAGGCTTTTCTAAATAAACAACAACAAAAAACAAAACAAATAAATAACGACTAATTATAGCAAGTCATTTAAACACATACAAATACAAACTTAAATGACCTGTATATTTAAGGATGCTCCCAACCCTGCCATGAATGTCCCCGTTTCACTTTTAGCCACTTCTTCTCAGACTATAATGAAGAAGTTCAATATAAGAAATATGACTTGCATGTGACCATTGTTTCTCATTATAGTTTGTGATTTTTTCTTCCTCTTAATTTCTCACGAGGGGACTTTCCTAAATGACATAGCGTTATAGGGTCATCGAATGATTTCAACTTTGAAACTGACCTCACTTTCTGTCTGACAGACGGCATTATGTGCTTTTCCTGTGTCACCCGTTAATAGAGCTAGGCCTATACATATAAGGAGATGCTGTGATGTTTTTACAAAAAAGTGCAATAACCACCCACTGTTTATTTATTAATAAATAATATTCATTACTGGACATCTGACCATCTTTATAAGAGAGAAATACAATATGTCTCTATTAAAGACACTGAAAGCTTGTTTAATCCATTGTTTCATATTCCAACATCTTCCCATTCATATACGTTCCCATTCATATTAATACACATGTAGAATATTTATTTAATTGTCGCCCTGATTCATACAAGCCGGAGACAGTGGTGAAGGTTGTCATTCATTATTTATTTGTTTGGTTTAAGGTTAAAAGATTGTTGATTCCATTGAACAATGCTTGTCTGAACGAATCTTTAAGTTCAGTCCTTGAGTGAATTGTTCTTGTTCTTTTTATATTTATCTTTTCTGGTGCAGTGTTGGATGCTGATATGTGACCCTGGACCACAAAACATGGCTACATTTTTTTAAAATTGAGATTTATACATCATCTGAAAGCTGAATAAATAAGCTTCACCTTGATGTATTTGGTTAGGATAGGACAATATTTGGCTGAGATACTATTTGAAAATCTGGAATTCTGAGGGTGGAAAAAAATCGAAACATTGAGAAAATCGCCTTTAAAGTTGTGCATTTATGTTCGTGATTGTGCTGCGTTCACTCACAAAAATAAATGTTTTATATATTTACGGTAGGAAATTTACTAAATATCTTCATGGGACATGATCTATGATCTTTACTTAATATCCTAATGATTTTTGGCATAAAAGAAAAATGTATAATTTTGACCCATATAATGTATTGTTGGCTATTGCCACACATATACCTGTGACTGGTTTTGTGATCCAGGGTCACATATGTGGTTGGGTGCTGACGGCCATGCTGTGAGTGAGTGTATGATTCAGATGGGAGAATACATAAAGTAGCAGACGTCAATGCAACTTTTTGTGCCATTGTGGCCTAATGGGTAGAGAGTCGGACTTGTAACCCGAAGGTCGCGGGTTCGAGTCTCAGTACTGGCAGGAGGGGGGAGTGAATAAACAGTGTTCTCTTCCACGCTCATTACCCACAACTGAGGTGTCCTTGAGTAAGGCACCAAACCCCCAACCGCTCCCTGGGCGTCGCAGCAAAAATACTGCTCCGTGTGTGTGTTCAATACTTACTGTGTGTGTGTGTGTGTGTGTGTGTGCACTTGGATAGGTGAAATGCAGAGCACAAATTCTGAGTATGGGACACCATACTTGGCTACACGTCACGTCACTTTTAGAAAAGACAGTTTAGCAGTCCATTTGCACTTTATCGTACAACTGGTCATGTGGTAAGGCTGCCAATAAGATTCTTGAGATCTCTTTCATTGTTTTTATGAATTAAAAATGAAATCTTGTTTAAAAACATATTAAACAGTGTTATAATGTAGGATGAAATGAGGAATAAGAATGATTCTGTGTAAAATGTAACGCGTTACAAGTCAAGTCAAACTTTATTAAGATCCCTTATGGGCAATTTGGATGCAGCACAGATAGACAGACACAAACTGACACACGCAGTACATCATAATAGTAATAATAGCAATACATATTACAAATTTCAAAATAGCATGAATATATAAAATATAGAATAAAAAATATAAAAACCTTAACAAGTACCTTTAGGACTTATTTAGTAGCCTAATTGCACTCGGAACAAAAGAGTATTTGTATCTATTATTTTTGGTAATCTGTAACGACGACCTGAGGGCAGCATGGAGAACTCTGGATATAAGAAGTGTTCTCTGTCTAAAATCACAGAATGGACTCGACTCAAAACATTTCTGTTAAACATGTCAAACATCTTTGCTCTTTGCCAATGATCTTCCCACTGTTTTTGACTCATTTATTTAGTGAATTTTTATATTTCACACTAAGATTTCCAAACCAGCAGCTAATGGAAAAGGACAACACTGGCTCTATATAAGATTTATAGAACAATTCCATCAGTGTCTTGTCTATGTTAAATGATCTCAATTTTCTAAGACAGTAAAGACGCTGCTGTCCCTTTTTACACAGAGCCTCTGTGTTCAAACCAAAACGATAACAATATTATAGCTTTCCACGCATTCCACCTTCTTATTCTTAATAAATGTGTCTTGGGAAGGATGTGTACAAGTAACGTGAGTTACGTAATCAGATGACCTTTTTCAAGTAATGCATTAGGCTTTTGAAATTACAACAAAATAGTTACTTTTCCACATGTATTGACTGACAGCTCTTCTGTCCCCATGTTGAGTGAAATCATGAGTAAGTGCAGAGGCGTTGTGTGTGTGAACATGATGGGTATTGTAGCTGTAGACTAAATGTGAGCATGCATTTACTCATCTCACTTGCACAAAAACAGAATCAGTATTACTCAAAATAAATAAAACAGAGAAATGCAAACTCAGAATATTTCCCAAACCTGCAATAATTAAATATGTTAAAAATACACATAAATGTATTAACCAATGTCTTTGCTGCTGACTTTCGATGATCAAACCATACTAATAAGCGATGTCTTTTAGATAAGCATTACATTTGCATTTCATTTGTTTGTTTTTTTGTTTTTCATTTTTTAACAAACAAGCAAGCCCATAGCTCAGCTGAGAAAAGTACCACAATAGTAATGTGACACATTACTTTACTAGTAATGCAATCAGTTACTCTTGGGAGTTACTCAATATTGTAATGCATTACTTTTAAAGGTAACTTTCTCCAACACCGCTAAAAGAACTCCTAACGGAGGAGAAAGATAAAGAAAGATAACTGACTGATCACACAGAGCTGCTCTAGCATGCTTGGTTCATTTTCATAATGTCACAGTGACAAATCCTTATGCTTGGATGTCGAATCTGGAGTGCAAACTCATTCTCGTTGTCATTTTTGTGGGTCATTCTCATTTTCAGTTTTATTTGGTTCTGTCCTTGTTATTGTGAAATGTATTATCTCCCTTTCATTTCTAATAAAAAGTGTTTGGTGTTTCTGTGACTTTTAATATTAAGAGCTAATTAAAACTCACTATAATTAGCCTATATTTAGGTACTATAAAGAAACTGAAATTATATCTCAAGTAATTATGACAACTTGTAGGAAAAAAACTCTATTTTGACTTTATTGGTATCTTGACTTCATGTATTATATGGTTTGTTTAGTACCTCATTTATTTATTATGCTAAAACTTTTTGTTTCTATTTCTCTCAGGATTATCAGGTTCAGAGATTTTTGCAGTTGACACTCAAAGCATATCCTGGCACATGTGTTATATGCCTTTGCTTCCACCTTGTGGACAGGAACATTATTACACTGGTTCAATAGTTTTTCTTTAGACAGTTTTATTAAATTAGTTGAGAACGAATATTTTTTTTGTACTGCTGAAAAGGCCCTGAAACTTCCAAATAAGAATAACTTTGAGTGAAAGAATGAAAGATGTAAATGATTATAATTTATAAAATAATATTTGAAGTGTCATTTAAAGAAGTCCTTTAAACACTGGGCTGTAGATTTTATGTATTCATATTTCCCCAATATTTATTTTCCATAGAATTCTTGAAAAATTGCTTGATTAGTTCACATAAATAATTCCATATAACTTTCCAGTGCACTTACTCATTTTATAGTGACTTTATTCATACTTTTGCCAGGCTATTGTGTGTATTTTTTATACAGGCCAACAAATATCAGCCTGCAAAAATCTGTCTGAAAATTGTTTATGACAACAGCAATGCAGTGTATATCTTGTTTTCTCTCTTGACTCTTGAATGCAGGACTTACAGTACAACATGTGGAAGCACAGAGTACAGCATTTTTTTTTTTTTTTCAAAATTGCATTGATGTCTTGCGTTTTCCAAACAAAGAAACACAGTAAACCTACAATTAAATCTAGTGGAAGTCTTTTGTGTTCTGTAATTCATACTTTTGACGATATGTAACGCATACTGTAAATTATCATCTTAAAACTGCCAGTGTGGGGAGATCTTATTGTATGTAATGTAATTTGGGTATTTTCCACAAAAAAAAGAAAAGTGTCTTACTTTTATTAAAGTCCCCCCTGTGGTGAAAATCAAGTTTTTAATGTTGTTTATATGTCTGTGTTGTTTTTAATAGGCTATGCTTTAAGACAAACCAAGTGTACATTCATAAGTCAATGCCATTGCTGAGTATTTTCTCTTTAAAACTGCAGTGAACCAAAGGCAGTCTAAAAAACGCGGTTTAAAATCGCTGTTTCTGACGTCACAAACCACCTTGTAAATCAGGTAATCGTCAACGAGTGGATCTCTGAGCTGGCGTGAGTATTCGGAATTTCGGAGGCGGGGCTAATTTGCATAATCATTGAACGAGGCAAGGGTGTAGCCTATTCAAGCTATTTCAAACGTTTAAACATGTTTATTAGTGATAAAAGATGAGTTAGTGACTCCAGGGTGATTTTAAAACATATCTGAAATAAAACAAAATTGGCTTTTTTATAGCTCTGGATGATGGGCGGAGCTTTACAGCCAATCAGGAAGTTCTGCAGCCGCTGTCAATTATTATGACTAATGTTCTTGTTCTAATAAGCTCAACTGCCGTTGAAGTAGCCAATCAACACATCTAGTTACTAACAAGTCAATCAACATAATGTATTTTAAATCTGGCCAGCAGTCGTATGTTGGTAATCTTAGCTGTGTAGGTCAGGATAGTGTTATTGCCTTTTTGGTAGTGGTTTAAGCTACCATACTTCAGTTAATCAGTGGCTATGGGTGTTGGATTTGTTTCAGGGTAATTGTTTTTAACCCGTTTTTTTCTTTTTCTTTTGTATGTGAAGTGATTCTAATGGGACATGGCATTGTTTCTTCCTCTTTAGAGGGGTGCTTTTCCTGTGTGCTGTATCTTTTGCTCTACGTGACTTCAAAAGCATGTTCCAGCAGTCCCCCAGTCCGCCGCAAGGTAATGGCCTTCTAAAGAGACATCTATCATTGGGGGTTAATGTCTGTGTTTGCTTGTTTTCTAACTTTTTGTCTTGCTCGCTCATAGTTCCCATTGAGGTTGAGTGCAAGGACCGCTCCCTGTTCATCTCAGTAGACATACCATCCTCTGGCGTTAAGCCTCGCTTTGAGGCAGTTGGTGCGTTTGAGTTTTACATCCTTTTAGCATGTGCTTTTGTTGTTTATAAATGCAACATGGTGTGTTTCTCTTTTTTTGGTCTTTTTAGATGCCACAGGTGTCTATCCTGTTACAGACCTCTATGGGGCTCAGTGTGGTTACACTTACTCTGTCGATCCCCTGTTGGGTCGTGTTGTTCTCAGATCCTCATACTTCTCCTGTCACACAGACAATCAGGTACAAAACGCTTCTAATGATGGACAACTTTCAGGATAATGCTCATTTGAGTGATTGTTGTGATCATCATGATTGAAGAATCATGTGATGAAAGATGGGTTATGGCTGCTGAATTTAGCTTTGCCATCACAGGAAAAAGTGTTGGTGTATTCAAAAACTGTACACTGTAAATTATGTTCATGATTTATTGCACTTATCTTTTGTCAAATTAACTTGGATAATTAATATTTCAGATAACTTAATTGAGATTCTATTTACTAAATTTCCTTTGTATTAACTCAATATTAAGGCAACCAATTCTGTTAAGTTTTTAAATGTGTAACCTCCCGATATACCTGTACTTAAATGCAAACTTGATCATAACACCTCAGAAACACTCTTGTTGACCTCAAACTTTTGGGATGATAAAGTTAAACTTTTTATTTTCTCCCCCAGAATGATGAGGTCTTCACCTTCATGTTCGGTGTGATCATTACAGATGAGCGTGGTGGTGAATTATTTTTCAATGTCTCCAAGACTTGCGCTGTTTCTCCTTTTTCTCCAAGAGAGATTACTTGTGAGGAGAACTACATGGAGGTATGAGTGAGACTTTCTTATGATGTGTATTTATTTGATTATTTAATCTCTCTCTCCCCCTCACCCCTAGGTGTCTGTGACAACTGATCATCTTTGCCCTACAGCCAGCAGTGTTAAAGGTTTCTCTGTGGTAAGTGGCTAGCTGTTTATCTTAATGGTTCACTTTGAAACATGCTCTTGGCTGCACTGTTTTTCTTCAAGCCCCGAAGTTCATTGGAGGCCTGGCAGGTGATGCTACAGCAAGATGGACAGCAGTCTGAAGTCATGTCGCCTGAAGATGCTGCTGCTCTGGGCTACTTCATAATGATCACACCTGGCAGACTTGTGTTTCGGACAACCTTTGGACAACCTTATGCTTCTGTCAAAATGGTATGCCACATAACCAAAATGGTTAATGTCACTTCCCCTTAACCGAGAACGAGTACATATGACCTGATCTCAAGTGTTTGCACAGACATTTAGAACTGCCTTGTGATTTAATCACTGTTTAACTTGTTTCAGGTCAGTGGTGTTGCAGTTGAAGTGATCCAAGCCACTGTGTTTTTTAGACAGAACTGGATGGTTGTCATGGTGGACCTGGTTGCTTCCTGCTCACTGGGTAAGAACAAAACATGTAAACTGCCTGGTTAAAAAGATTCAATGATTGGATCATTATTGCAGTTATTGTTTCTACCATGTTATGTTTGGCAACAGTTATTCTAACCCTAATTGGGGAGTAGCATTTAATTTCTTAAACAACCATGTAGGAAGACGCATCATGGTCATATTCCAAGATGACGATGTCAAGATTCGGGCTCAAATTGTGAAGAAATGGTTGGGGAGCATGAATCATTTTTACACCTGAATTGGCTCCTCTGAGTTCAGACATTAAATTCATTGGAAGTCTTTGGGATGTGCTGAAGGAGACTTTACAGAGTGCTGGACTCTTGCTTTGTAAATACAAGACTTGAACAAAAATAGGAAGTGGAAATGTTCTAATGTTATTTCCATTGAGGCAAGTACTTTATAAAAAAATGAATCAAGATCTTGTATTGACAATGCAAGAGTCCAGCACTCTGTAAAGTCTCCAGCACATCTCAAAGACTTCAAATGAATTTAAGGTCTGGACTCAGAGGTGCCAATCTTGACATTTGTCTCTTGACAAATCTAACATGCTAACATGAACATCTAACATGCTAGAAACAACCACTGCAATGATCCAATCATTGACTTTTTTTTTTTTTTTTTTTTTTTTAGCAACTAACTCTTAAGAACAGTGACTTTTGATTATTTGGTATTGTGAAAAAGGGACACGTGCTGTGCATCTGAACAATGTTGCAAGAGTTCGGTTTTCAGGTTCCATATTTGATTTTAATAAATCATTTCAGATGAAGGCTTTTTTGATGGCTACAGACTTCACTGGAGGACCCCTGCAGTAATGACTCCTCTGGCTGGTCCACCCTCTGAGTTAAGGAGTGAGTCAATAGATGTGGGAGTTAATGGTGAGCTCCTAGATGAACAGAACTTGATAGACCGAGGCTACTCTGTGACATTCAATGAAGGGGCCGTTGTCAGTAGCATCCCCTTTGCTTCAGTGGGAGGGACTAGAAAGGTATGGTCTGGAGTTCTGTTCCTGTATGATCCTGGATTAAGCATCCAGTGTTAAATCTTAATTTGCCTACAGAGCTTTGTGATCGACGGTATGTATCATGAGCTGTACACCGTCCAGCTGACCTACCAGCAAAAGTTTGTGGACCAGAATGGTGTGGACACCAAGTACAATGCGTTCCAGCAAATGGCCACTCCCGCAATTCCTCGTGTTCCCTTTTCAATTAACCGTGAGTTGGATATTAAATGGGCATGTCACTGCTGCTCTGTGAGGATTAAGTTCACTACAACTGTACTGTCTCTTCCAGAAACGACACCTGAGGAACGAGTCTTCACGGTCTACCTAGGTAATATTCCTTTTGATGTGGAGCTGATGTCCCTGGAGCTGAATGGGCAGGAGTTATCCGTGTCAACTGCCATGCAGATGGGATGTTCCATCACTAGAGTCCCACAAGACAATAATACTTTTGCGTATATCATTAGAGTGCCATTTGATGCCCAATTTGTTGTGAAGCAGGTGAGTTTGCTTTCGTAACTGCATTCTCCATTCTCTAGGTCAGGTTTTTTTTTTTTTTTAAATGTATGGCTTTTCTACTCTAAGGTACACTATGTAGGAATTCCGTTTTTGTCAAACAGCGACCCTTAGAGTCGCTGTGGAATACTTGTACTATCGTAAATAATGAGTGGAAATAAGGTGTGGCCCCTTTAAGAGCTGTGCGCGCCGGGTTATTTCTGTTTGATGCTCATTCTTATCCTATTTTAAGTGAAAGCCTGACCGAGTGAGACTCTCCCGGTTTCTCGTTTTCTTTTCCTTGACTCTTCCGAGCCTGTGGTCACGTGACGGTCGTAAAGCGATGCGTTCTCCAGGTCAAAGACGGTGCGTCTTCTCCAAACTTACATAGGCGGTATTTCAAGAGGGCAGCCCCGCTCAGAGCATTGATAGTGTCAAACGCTGTATATTGGCCTGAGGAATCATTTAAAATAACTTGTATGCGTCAACTCTTTAAGCCAAAAGTTACATGGTGTGCCTTTCAATACAAATGCATACTCCTAGCTACCTTGACCCTTTTGAGGGTGTCATTAGCATCAAAAAGTTTGTTGGTAAAACAACACCTGCTCTATGCATTTCGACTTAGGGGATTGACTAATTGAAGCTGATTTCAGATCCATGTGTTTAAAAACGAGATTCCCCAAAGTCTGGCTTTTGAGTCGTGTCTTTCTTGCAGCACATTGCAGAGAACTTTTTGGAGTACTCTTTGGAAATTAAGTGGACTTTGAATATCCTTCCTCAAATGGAGCCCTATTACTATTTTTCCTCTCTGAGTGCTTCCATTCATGATGTCGGTAAGGATCATAGTATTTTAAGAGGTTTTGCACTTCTGTTGGAACTTTTAGACCCTTAAAACATTTGACAATATTGTAATGCATTGTCTGCCATACACTGAGGTGTTCAATTTTATCTCAACAGTCCCACCCGTCTTTGACAGCATGTGTGCTAACAATGGCATGCGCTTCATGAGAGCCTATCATGAGTACGACTACTTGTGGGACATTGTCATCGGCCACTACCCGCTGACCCAACAGCTGGTGTCTGAGCGTGGCTACATTATGTCCAATGACAGCAACACCTTCATTTTGGATGTCCCTCTATTTACAATTGGATACCGCTATGAGGTTTGTTAACCACTCGCAGGGCCTAACTGTTGAAAGGCATTAAGTTTTATAAAATTGCTGAAGTTAACATCCCTCTGTTGTAGAATATTACACTGCAGCAGTTCTATGGCACTTTTGAACTTCTCACCAGAAATGCTAAAACCCTGGAGATTGAACAGTCTTCAGGCAAATGCTGTCTCTTCCAAACCACTGAGCTCTTGGGTAATGCAGCGGTTCCTATTGGCTTCACCCAAATTTATCGCATTGGCACCAGAAAGCACAATTCTCATATGAACTGGTTTTGGCTTGCTTGATAGGTTTAGGGATGGAATGGTCACTTTACACAATAGTCTGGTTTACTTTCAAGTGAATGGTTTCCTTATATTTTGTTTTAGTGTGCTCTGCTGAGGGCGTGATGACTGTAGTGAGTGACGTCACTAAAGTGGTACCTACTGCAGACCCTGCCCGAACCACACTATTGGACCCAAGCTGCAGACCTCAAGAAACTGATGAGAGCAGAGTCCTGTTCTCCTTTGGACTTAACACCTGTGGCACTAGATTTCAGGTGTGGTTAAATGCATATCTTCCCCATGCATATGAAAGTTACTTGATTTAACTTTTTTTTCTTCTCTCTATTCAGGTTGATCAGCAGTATGTGACTTATGAAAACGAAATCATATTTCATGAGTTGTATTCCACAGACAGCAAGCCAGTAATCACGAGAGATCCTGCATACAGGTAACTTTAGTAGCCTAGTGATTTGTGTATTAGTGGCCAACTTTCTTAACCACACAGCCATTCTACCACCCACCCCCAAAGGATGACCGTGAGGTGCATTTACCCTGTACGTGGCACTGAAAGCCTCTCTGTGGACCGGATGTTCAGAGCTGAGACTCCTGGAATTGGACAAATCAAAGATCCTGTGATGGGCAAGTTAATTGGCTTAACTACCTGAGAGCCATTTGGTCTCCATGTAGGCCTAGAATAAACTTGAATATCTTCTATTTTCAGTTCCTCCCAAAGTGTTTAAGCCCATGCAACTGCAGAAACAAACTGTTATGAAGACTTATCAGGCAGCTCCTGCAATGAAGCCAGCTGAATATGTGCGTGTGCGGCCCAATAGAGTGCGCCAGTAGACAGAGACGTGCTTGTCATTAGGTGAACTTTATTTACATTTATTCGTGTATATGCTTGTTTTTGTTTTTTTGTTTTTTTAAACGCATGTATTTAACCTTTCTTTTTCAGGACCTAATGGAGACTTTTAGATTTGGAGTGATATTTAATAAACTTGTATCAAGCATTGTCTTCTGATTGTGCAGTTTATTTTCAAAATAAACACTTTCCTATAAAGCCTTTTGGTGTCCTTTTTCACATGACAGTAGGTTCTTAAATGTGTGAAGACGAGTCTGCCTTGAAACATGTAATATCATTTAATGAAAGTTCTTATGGCATTGAAAGGGTTAAACAACTGTACAGACATAATGTAAATTATTGGGTATCAGTCCATGGTTTACTTACACTGTCCTGTATGCTCAAATGGAGCCCATTTACCACAGAACCTCGGTTATAAAACAGTCCACCTGTTTCTACACTGTGCAGGGAGCTCCATGTCTGCTGATGTCCGGTGTGGAGGGTTAAGGGGGTTGCTTTGGGCACAATCTGTGGATTCTGGCTGGGAGCCATGCAACTGGCACTACTGGTTGGGCATGTGCTCTGAGTCTTTGTGCTTTGAAGAAAAGCCAACTGGGTCTGTGTTTGGACCAAATTCTGAATCAAACTTTGGGTCAGGATGTGATTCTGATGGTGTGTCTGGTTTAGGATTTGTTGGTTTGGGTGTATCTGTAGTTTTTCTCTCCAGTCCTCTTGCTGCTGTCGATGGATCTTCATGTGAGCATTTCTACTTTTTATTTTGTAGAACATCCTGAAAAAACAATTTGCAAGATCAAATGGAAGGCTGAACACAATTGGATGTCCAACATAAGCCATGGTGTTTGTTTCAATTGCATATTAAGTAGGCTACTAGAACAGCATAGGCAAAAATCATTCATACTTACTTTCCACACTGTTTACAGGGAAAGCTTGTGGGAAGTAGTGGGGTATGAATCAGTCTCTCGATACTGGCTTGGTTAACTAGCATCTTTGGGGCTGGAAGAACCTGTGGAAGAGTTTCAAATATTTTTAAACTTGCAGTTTTTATCACTGGAAAAGCGGTATTCCGCATGGTTCCCGATGATGTCCTTAAGTATGTGCAAATCAAAAGCTGTAAACTTAGTTTACCACTAGATGTGCATTTGAATGTTACATTGAAAAATGGCCACAGATCCAAACAGAAGGACAGTTTAAATAAAATTATAAATTAAAAACAAAGTTGGGAAGAGGGAGAATGTTCTGCAAAAACAAACATTTATTCCACTGAAAATAGTAGTACGTGTATTTGATTTATATCCCATTGCATGTTATAATCTCAGTCTGACGCGCATGCGCGCTGTGAAGTTAGACCGTAGACTCGTCGCTTGCTGATGAGTCTTCTCGCAAAAAGGCAGACTGATCTCATGAAATGGCAATGGCGTAGACATACACGCAAAAGATTTCGGCGTGGACATACACGCGGATAGCTCAAAATGCGTATAGATAACACGCCACTTGAATTGAAAGTGGCGTGTATGTTTACGCAAAGTCATGATGTCATGTTGCAGAAAGGAATCATTCGCGTGAATTCTCACAATTGCAGATGAGGATATAACAGCAAAAGGTAGTTATTCACCGTGGCAGAACATTTCTCAAACGCAAACGACGCAATCTATCAAAGCAATTGACACGGAGCCTCACTAAACTGCTTTTGAGTTTATTATAAAACATTCTAGAGTTTTGGACAGCTTGGGCCGTGCTTACTTTGCAGCTCACTCTGTGACCTTTGGTAGTGTTCATGTTTTGTTTTTATTAAAAAAAAAAGCGTTTTTCGGTTCAGTAAAAGTTAGATGTGAGAAACGAAGCTTTTCTAACGTTAACTCTGAATCAATTCGCCTTTGGCTAGGCCCCGCCCCCCTTAGTTACTGTTGCTACGTCCGACAAACAAACTTCATCTGGGCTCTGGTATCAACATGGCTTATGCTGTGACAGCTCTTCCTGCTGAAATTTTATCAAACTTTTATAAAGCAGCAAATAAAGTGTCCGATAGAAGTAGTCAAAAGGGGCTGCGATATACGTTTGAAGGCATACGTTCATGACATACAGGTGAAACGCAAGGAACAACAGGGCATCCAAAATAGAGGCAATGCATACCGGTCACAGTCAAAAAATGAACCACCGCATATCGTACTAATCGAGACGGAGGCTGGGACTAACAATATCAAGGAGCAACACTGTTCATGCAAAGCTGGGTAGGTCTCTATTCACTTCTATAATCGTTATTACAAAGCAAACGGACTACGCGAGTATAACGTTGTATTTATTAGCAGCGTGTGCTAGACCAGTGGTTTTCAAACCCTGGGTCGCGACCCTCGGGTGGGTCGCGAGAATTAAAAAATGGGTCGCCAGTGATTAAAAAATAAAATAAAAAATCCGTTTTCTAATTAAATTAATATTAATAATAATAGCTTTGAAACAACGAAACAAACTAAATGCTTCTCCTGACATGCGTGTTGCCCTCTCGTCCTGCGAACCGGCTTGGGACCAGATTATGCAGAATAAGCAGGCCCTTCTCATTAATATACACAAAACACGCACTCGTTCGCTCCACCCGCAACACACACACACGTTCGCTCCATCGGCAACAACACACTAACACTCGTCGTTCCTTCCTAGGGCTGTCAAAATTAGGCTACAAAAATTACGTTCTAAAAAATCCCTCTAAAAAAACACATATTCGAACTATTCGAACATCTGGTTGTGCATTTTGTCAATGACGCGCATTACGTCAATAACAGGTCAAATTAATACAAAGAGACATAACTACTTGTTTAGGTAGTTTATTTAAGTTTAAACATATTTGACAACGTATTACCTACACAAAAACAAGTAGCCTAAATCAACTAATGGCCAAGACCGCAGACCTCACTCTCGCTAGGCACTCTTTCTCTCTCTCTCTCCCATCACTCACGCTCTCTGCGCATAACGGTTTAAATGAACAACAGCAACGATAAACAAATGTTGAGTGCTGATCAAGAGTTTTGTGCAAGCAATTTAAGGTCGCGACTCTTGTCCCAAATATAGCAGGCTTCATTCAGTGATTGAAACAAATATTATTAACATTAATTGAAGTTTTAAAGAACCGTCATTGAACGCCCCGAGCGAGCTGTGCTGTGGTAAACATGGAACTTTTCCTTGACATGAAACGGTAAATAATCAAACCAGTGAAGCCTGCGATGCATGGAACTGCTGTATCTAACCTACCTTATTCATGCAATAAATAAGAATAAGAAATAAAAAACTTTTAGCTGTGCCAGTGCCACTCTTGTGACCTGTCCCTGATCCCTCAGCGCCCACTCGCAAAGCAGACAGCCGCGCCTCTGATACCGCGGGCGTGTTTTTCCACATTCAAATATTAATTTTCACATTCGAAATTCTGTTTTTTAAAACTATTCGAATATATAGGCCTATTCGAATTTAGAATATTCGTTGACAGCCCTATTCTCATTTGAATTATAAATAAGTTTGCTTTTAAATTGTGTGTGATTTTGGTTGGGTGACAGTTAAGTTTGACAAGAGTTTACAGTTTGACAAAACCACAATGTTGTGTTTTAACAATGTTGTGTCGAGTGTACACAAGTATAAATAAACACTTAGCAGTTTGAATGATGTCCTGTATGAACGACGGAGTATATTTTTTGTTTCCAGTGCCGCGCCTCACACACACACACACAAATACACCATTCCAGGCTTGACATCGCAGCCTGTTCATTATAGCCGAAATACAAATATGACAATAAAATAGTCAACCTAATATAAAAATCACACTGCTCTGTTTAAATAGTCAATTCGTACCATTCAGCGTAAGCACCGCTCAACCGTGATGTTTCCAAGCACATTTTTGCGCATGTGAAAAGGATGATTTTTTTTCCTGTCGATATTGCAACGTGAGTGAAGTTGCTACAACGCCTATAATAAAGAATAGTTTACCATCAAATACATCGCGAATGTTAAAATATTTTGATTCTAATGAGAGAGTTAGGCTACGTGAGCATAATGCCCCTTTTACTTTCCCTTTAAATTATTTCGTTTTGGCTTGTTTAGTTATTATTTTTTTATTCTTGTTCTGTTCTGTATATAATTAATATTACATTTAAAGAGTTTGTTGTGGAATATGTTTTGTGTATTTGTACTTTTTAAGCATTCAGCAAATGATAAGCTATTTATTGGTTAAAAGTCCTGTATGTAGGCCTATAGCTTGATCAAATTATTTCAGAATCGACTTTGCGTTGCAATCGCGTCAAGGATCAGCAAGTGCACGTGCATCATCAAAAGTAAAGTGGTTAAAAAAAGTGCTTAAAGAAAGGTTAAAGAAAAAAAATTCTGCGCACAAGCCTATGGGTCGCGTAAAAAAAAAAAAAAAAAAAAGGGTCCCTCTTGAAAAAGTTTGAAAACCACTGTGCTAGACGACACTTTTAGTTGTCAGGATTTGACTTCGGTTTTGGGAAGAGAAAAAAACGCACACCCCCCTCCAACCTCTCTGGGAAACGCGTATCTGTGTTACAAATGCCCCAGGCACAACGTTTAACCATATTTTTGATAAAACTACGACGGTAATAGCCTGCCGAGACCAAAAATATGAGACGGCTGTGTTAAAGTCAATGGAGCGCTGTGAAAAAGTGTCGGACCTCTGTGGGAGCTCGTTCTTGGCTGCGCTGTGATTGGTCAATCTACATTCTAGGGTGTGACTTAGCCAAAGGCGAATTGCTTCGAGATTCATTGTTCCGAAGCGCTCGAAACACCACAGGCTGGCGGTGCCTGCTGGTAAATGTAACGAAAATGCAACGAAATAAAACCCAGTCCAAACACATACTATATAATTCTCCTTTTTGAATTAATGCTGCCTTCACGCGCTATCGGCAGCAAATACTAACTCTCATACGAAGTTGATACAAGCTGCTTCTGTGAAATTGAACCCGAAGATTTGAATAATCTGTTCTGTTTGTGTGAAGTTGTAAAACGGTTTTGGCTGGACCTTCAACAATTGTTCGTCTCCAAAGGATTTCAGATGATGAATCTAACAATTAATGATATAAAATTTGGTATTTTTCATAATGATCACAATGATTTTGGCATTAACAATGTAATTTTGTTAAGTAAACATTTCATTCATAAATGTCGTTTTTACAAGACAATTCCTAACATTACTCATTTGATTAATAACAAGAATGCTGAGAAACTGGCTTCTTTTGTTAACAATCTTATTGAATAATTGCCCTTTTAATGTATTTTCTTTTGAATATGTAAATGCCATTTTTGCCATAACATGCTCCATGTTCTTCTGTTCTTTTAGGTTTTTTTTCTTCTTTTTTTCCCTAGGATGAGCACTGTAAGTTCGTTGACATTGTTCATGATTTGTTTGTATTTGCTTTGAAGTGGAAAATAAGGGAATAAACCATGACCATTAAAAAAACAAAACAAAGTTTGATACAAGCTCTCTGACCCACTGATTCGAAACAAATGATTCTTAAATGTTTCGAAGCTTCACGATGTCAGTCTTACCTGATTGATGACTGCTGTAAGTCTCTCTTCCTCCAAACTTTCTTTTTCTCTCTCCATCTGCTTCCTTTGTTTCTCTGAAAGCCTCTTGGAGTTGTAATAGAATTCAATACACTGTGACACCTGCTTTGTTCTCACCTGAAAGCATGAACACGTTGAATTGCAAATGCTGTGATCCGAAATATTTGTGGCTTAGATTTACAAATGTTTGATATATTACCATTTTATGTACAAAGGAGAAATCTTTTCCATAAATTGTAAATGCCTTATGGAACAGTCTTTGTTCACTCAAAGTCCAGATATCCATTCCTAAATGCAAAGTGAAATTGGATTAGCCTTATTTGATAATTTGTTGATTAAACGTTTTTGAGAATTAAAGTTAGGGTAGGCAATTTAAAAAAAAATACTTTTTGTTATACTAGTTGAAACTCTCTTCACATCCTGATAGCAATCAATAATAGAAGTGGTCTAAATATTAAAATCTGTACAGTGTCTTCCCTGAACATCACACGTCATCAGCACGTTTAATGCTATGCAGATTTAGACAGACGTCAGTCACCGAGCGCCACAAACAAACAGCAGCCGCCTTTTACAGTTCCTCCTGAACCAAAACTACGGGCTTATGCTGCATTCACACCATGTCTTAACGGTAATGACGAGATGGCAACCCGTAATATTCTCAGACTATTTGTGCCTTTCTATGTCAACACTATAAACGCCGAAATGAATCTGCAGCAGTCAGGTGGTACAAGTAAGAGCTCTCTAAGTTGTTTACGTTCATTATTATTGTAATGTTATGTGCTTTGAGACGAGGTAATTTAACGCCATATCTCTTGTGACGCTTTGTAGACTCTTCTGAGTGCGTTCATGGGTTTTGAAAGGAGGCGTGGCTTTAGAGACGCTCTGAAGGGAGGGTGGGATCTCATGCTTTCAAAGCTAACTTGCTATTGCTAGCCTCTCCGAAATTGCCTACCCTACCTTTAAAAAGTGTGAATTTACCAGAATAGTGATAGTTTTCTGATGGAGGGGAGTCTTTAAACAACAGCATCTCCAGCGCTGCCTGTTGTATAGGATTGGTAGAGAGGGAAAAGAAGGAAATTAAATATCACGCTGAATTTATTTGTGGAAGACAGCTTGTCATCAAAAAGTCATGACCATTTTGGAGAGGTAATTGTGAATAGAGTCTTGTAATATCATACATCTATAAACATGAGTTCATAATGAATATTGCACTTACTATTATGTTTCCCTTGCAACGAGACAGGCTATGAAGGGCAAGCTCCAGATTGGCGCCACCTCCTGGTAGAACACTGGAGGCACTCAGGTCAAGAAGACTCTCAACTGAGGTTTGAAATCACACTCGTGAATAATGTTTCAAAAAACCACTTGCTTTTATGATCATTTGAATATTTTTATTACCATGCTGTAAAAGGGTGTCATTTTCTTCTAACTCTGCCCAAGGTTTCCATAACAGCTCCTCCCTGACCGCTTCCTCTGGACATTCCTCATGCTCTCTTCCTACTATCACATCTGGCAGCTCAGCTTGGAAATCAGGGCCTATATTTATGCACCTTGAATGTGATAGAAAGTTTAATGACTCATAAAATAATACCGTAATAATTAATAATTCGTTACATTTATATAGCGCTTTTCTAGGTACTCAAAGCGCTTTACATGGGCTGCTGTAAAAGGTTGTCATATAAAAATGAAATCTATGATGTCTGAGGATCACAACCTGGGTGGACAACCCGGTCAACAAACTGCTGGAAACTTGTAATTAGGATCAAAACAATGCTACCTCAAATTCTGCTGTTAAGTGTCACCCCCTTTTTTTGAATAGACATGAAAATGCACATTTCAAACTTGAATGGTTGTAATTCAAGAATGCTTTGGAATATAGACGTAAGATTGGTTTCGTTTTAAAGAAGACATTTGGCAGATTTTTATAGAAGTGAAATAAATTAAGAGAGTGAAAAAGTTATAGAAGTTTGAGTTTATGGAAATGTACAATGTAAAAAAATTAATTATTCATATTTTATATAAAATATATATTTTCAAAACCTGGGCTACTCTAAAACTGCAGAAAAATTAAAGCCAAAAATCTGAACAAGTTGTGTTTAAAATGTTAGGTTGATATCTCAAAAAATGAGCTTTCAGTAAGATTTTGTTTGGACGCAGTACCAAACTTTTTCACTAGGGCACAACCAGACTCCATTACTGCCCATATAAGGGCGCCTCCATTTCCATATGTGTTTTGAGTGATCTGAACCATTATTTCCACAATTTTCATACAATTTATGAAGTAAGAGATCCTATTCAGAAGTAGTATGGGAAGTTTGGCAGATTTTGATATGAATTCAACCTCTAAGAAACACATACAAAGAACACGCATGTGCGTTATAGCTCACTCCCACATCACAAATGGTGAATTTATAAATTTTTTTTCTTTATATTTTAAACATTTTCAGACCTTTTTTTCTAAAATAATTGAATGGATGCTATCTTTTGAACTCTTGTCATGAAAACCAACTGAGGTTTCTACCATTTTTTCATGATTTTTCATGTTCATTGCTATTTCAAAATAAAGGTCTGAACACGCCTTAGGAGTATGAAAATATTCTTGTTGCAAATTGATAAATTACGGCTCCTCTGTAATTTATTTTGAAGATCAGTCACCAAATATGAAACCTAGAGATTGTAAGCTTTCAAATTATATATAAATTGTCAATATTACTTAAGGTTTTTACTAAGATATTATTGTTTTAAAAATATAATGGCAAACGTCCCACCTGTGGGACAGTGACAGTTACCGGAATCACCCAAACATGCTAAAAAGGTTTAATTATATTCATGAATCCTGAGCCATATCTCCATGATACTTTATGCTAGAAACAAACGCGCACACCTTTCAAAAGAGTGGAAGATAGATAAACAAGCTTTCATCTGATGCCTTGATTGTACATGTAATTAGGATGTCTCTTAATTCATTGGGTGATTCCGGGGAGTTAAAGCAGAATTTGAGGTAGCATTGTTTTGACCCTAATTATTACAAGTTTCCAGCAGCTTGTTGACCGGGTTGTCCACCCAGGTTGTGATCCTCAGACATCATAGATTTCATTTTCATGTCGGCTAAACCCCCTTTGCCCCCTGGGTAAACCATATTTTTCTGTTGTTCAGGCATGCTCTTAATAAAACAGCATTTGCTTCAGGGGAAAATCATTCTCAGCGGCAAGGCTCTGCCTCGTATATGACACCGATGAGCGACTGAGAAGAAACATACAAACATCTGAATGCTCACCTTTGTGAGTCATCCTCTTTCCTCTCGTCTGTCCACAGTGCTCTGTTTTCCACAGCAAGGGAAGAAAGCAGGTTGCAGAAGAGCCCCGTTCCACTACGTGTCGGGTTCAGCATCGGAGGTGGTGTAAAGTGAGATGCAGTTCCTTCCCAGCTCTCCATAAACTCTCTACTCAGCTGGATCACACTGTTGAATGGGACTCCAGTATATACGGAACTGGGAACATTCTACATGAACAAAAGTTGCATGTGAGTTATGCTACGTAAAATGTCGCTGTAGAGCCAATCACAGCTTATAACAGTCGAAGGCATTAAGCTTGTGGTTTTAACCTAACACTCATAACTGTACGTACAAACAATATATGAAGGTTTTTATATTTTTGATATATTTTATGTTTTTATTGTATATATATATACACTCTACCATTCAAAAGGATCAGAATGGTTTTCTAATGCTTTTGAAAGAAGTCTCTTATGCTCGCCAACTGGTTGTCATTGATCAAAAATCAGTAATATTGTGAAATATAATTACAATATATGGAATATTACAATATATACATTATTTTAATAAATGTTTTTTAATACATTTTAAAATGTAATTTATTCCTGTGATCAAAGCTGAATTTTCAGCATCATCACTCAGTGTCACATGATCCTTCAGAAATCACTCTAATATGCTGATTTATTATCAATGTTGGAAACAGTTGTGCTACTTAATATCTTTTTATATATTATTTTATATATTTATAGATTCTTTGATGAATAAAAAGTTTTAAAACTTTTTTTTTTTTAAATAGAAATGTTTTGTGACATTATACACTACCATTCAAAACTTTTAGGTCGGTAATTATTTTCTTTCTTTTTTGAAAGAAATTAATACTTTTATTTAGCATGGATGTGTTATATTGATAAAAAGTGATAGTAAAGACTTATATTGTTAGAAAAGATTTCTATTTTGATTAATGCTGCTCTTTTTAACTTTTTTTCCAAAATTAATATAATATATAATAATAGTTTACATATAATAATACATAAACTGAGTATCAAATCAGAATTTTTTAACGATTTCTGAAGGATCATGTCACACTGAATACTGGAGTAATGATGTCGAAAATTCAGCTTTACGTCACAGAAATAAATGATATCTTAAAGTATATTAAAATACAAAAATCATTATTTTAAATTGTAATAATATTTCACAATATTACAGTTTTGTTCTGTATTTTTTGATAAAATAAAAGCAGACTTGACAAGCTTAAGAGACTTCTTTTAAAAACATTAAAAATAGTAATGTTTCGACCGGTACTGTAGTATATATATATATAGGCCATAACTAAATGAATAGTAAATAGTTGGTCTCATGCCTGTGTGCTGGAGGACCCCTGAGGTTTGTCTGAGGACCCAGGACTGAAGTTCTGTCCAAAACTTAATCGTGATCCTTCTCCTGGCTCTGACCCCTGCACATGGAGACTGGACTGATGCAGAGAAGGTCCATATGAATGGGATGATTGCCCCATCTGTCAAGATGAGAAAAGTAGTTGTGAATGTTGCATGCTAGCAAAACTACACAACACGGGAATGATGGGAAAGCCATTGATGCACCGATCTAAAATGCTTGACCAGGGTAACAATCAGTGTGAATGTACAGATGACAGACCTGAGGCCATGTCATGTGATCTTCAGATGTCCCGTGCTCGTGACCTAGATGTTGCTGTACGCACGACTGAGGATGATGATGTTGAGCCAGTGCAGGGTTGAGGGACATTTGCATTGAACAGTCTATGCAAGCAAAAACACGTTTCATTATCAAGTCAAGTCAAGTCCTCTTCATTTATATAGCGCTTTTAACAATGGATTGTTTCAAAGCAGCTTTACAGACATAAACATATAATTTAAGGTAACAGAGATTGTTTTGGTTTTATAGCGGTTCTTGAATAATGTCAAACATTTCAAAACAGGTCAAACACACAAAAACGTTGCGTTTACATTACCCCTACCTTTCTGCAGGGAGTTTATTTGTTTCAGATGAGGGCTTCCATGCTCTGAATAAACTAGCGAGGAGTTTGAATCTTGTTGGAGGTGCTGTGTTAACTCCAAACTTTCGTTGCCGTCAGCTTGCAGCTGGAGCCAAATGGGGTGATTGTACCTGCTGGTGGACGGCGAAGGTAAAGAGGGGAAGAACTGCAGCGACCCATCCGTCTGCGATTGGCTCAAGATCTGTCCGGGTAGGAAGTGTTGAGGTCGTTTGGGAGGAGAGAAGGACTGAGGAGGCAGGGGCGTCGGAGGTGGGCTGAGAACCAAAGGGAAAGAGAGGGAATGGGAGGGAGGAGTAGAGTTGTTGAAGCCGCTCTGCTCTCCTCCACCCTGCATTCGCGGCATGTTACGACTGCAAAAGGCCTCGGAGAAAGAATCCAGTTTTTGTTGCTGGCGCCCAGTTGTTTCGTAACAGTCTGCCGCCTCCTGTTGGTGGCAATGAGAACTCCAGTCGCTCTCATACACTCCAGCTTGTGCCTTGATCCTGTTGAGTCCCATAGAGGACACTGGGGACATGCTTCCCCAATAAGCAGGGCTCCCCGATTGATCTATTCCATTCAGAGCGGAGCCGGTGCCATCCGGTGCTTCACACGGGACTTCAAACGGGCCGAGCCCACTCATAGAGCTTTGCTGGTAAAGGTCGTGGCTTGACCTTTGACCTTCCGTCTGAGGCCGAAACATAGGAGCGAAGGAGAGCGACTCAGGTTCGGGAGACGTATGGTCAGCCATGTGGCGTGTTGTAAATGGCTGAAGCACTCTTGAGTTAGAAGACGCTCATTGCATCTGAAAACTGAAAAGACACACAAAGATCATAAGTTAAGTAGTCATCGAAACCCTTTGAGCGCTAGCGAGCCAAACCACACAAACAACCGATTAATGTTTTTTTTGCATCTCCCTCTGTAACAACTGCTTTTTAGCTGCAAAGAAAAACAACGTCGGAGACACAGATAAACGCAACAATCAAAAGACCACAAACGGCCTTTGTTTGTTCTATGTTTAGCTTTTTTTTTAACCTTTTCTCTCATCCTTTTTACTCACTCTTTTTCTTTGTCTAGTGCTTACTCACCAATGTTCTTCTTGCTTTATCCATAACCTGTTGCTTTTGTTCGTGCGCTATCTACTCACATCGACCTGTGAACGTGTGAACAAGCAAACGAAATTAAAACGCAGCCACGTGTGAAAGCAGCCGCTCTCTCTGGCTCTTTCTGGCTCGTGCGCAAACACATCATACTTAAACGTGAAAACACTTTCTCACACATATTTCTTTGACAGGTGCCACCGATCAAAAGGTAAGCCTTCGGTTGTCATAGAGTCACCCCCTCCCTTAAAACCCTGAACCGAAAGCCACATCCTGAGGAAGCAGTCACGGATCTCCCTCTATCTCTCTCTCTTTCTATATCTCTCTCCCTCTTCTGTCTTGCTCTCCTCCTTAACCTCCTTTCCTTCTCAGTCTATTTTTATCTGTTCTCCTACATCACAGACTGAAGCAATCTGTGGTATACTCACAGTCTCCCTCTTGGTCCGATGAGGGTGTCGTTCATGGTAGACGGTGGAGCAAACAAAAAGTGGAATCCAGCAAAAATGTACTTTTTTAAAACAATTAACAAAAGCTGCAGGATGAAAGCGTGCTGTCTTCACTGATGTTGGCAGGTTATGAGACCTTTTGGGCTTATTGTGCTTGCGGCTCAGTGTGTTATCTTGAGATTCGCATCTGTTGTGGTTAGTGACTTCAGTGTAAAGAACGTAAGCGTTGTTTAACTGGCAGGTAAGGCGTGGGTGTTCATGTAAGTGTATACGATATGAGTGAGAGGCAACGCTTCCTGTCAAGTGTGTGTGTGTGTCGGTCAGAGTAAGAACATGTTTGTGTGTGTTTTTCTTTTTGGTAATTGTATGTTTGAACTCTTGTCTTTGTGTTAATGTTGTGTTGTTGTGCGTCAAGTGTTTAACTTTATTGCTTTGTTGAGATTTTGTGCATGCATAAGTGTGTGTGTTCCTCTGTGCATGTGTTTGTGTGGGCGCAAAGACATATTGTGTTTACGCCAGTGAGAATCTGTGGTTGCTCAAAATCATGTGACGGGAAGTTGACCATGAAACAGCGACAGAACAGGAAGTGGACAAGGGAAACCTCCGTACACCCCGCCTCCGCTCACTCGCTCGCTCTCTTTCTGCAAGTGTATCCCTCTTATACCCACAATATAAAATTGTTTCCATACCGCATACATTGTCTCCGCACACCTTTTTCCACCCACACATAGTGTTTCCCTCTCTTTTTTTCTCTCTCTCTCTCTCTCTCATGCTATCTTATTCACACTATTTTAACTGGATAATAGCACTGCAACGTAACCACTGCATTTTTATTTTGAATGACAGGTCAGAACTACAGCTCCTCCCACTCCGTCTCCGTGAGCCATTACACTTTGAGAGAACGTGAATCTGGACGGCCCCCCGCACAGGTTGTAGGTTTGGCAGTTTTGGCTGATGAGGGTGATGTTAATTCGGTGGTGAGTACAGTATGAATGTACCTGCACAAGTCACCTACACAAACCTCACCATTAGCATAATGTGGGTGAAAGAATAAAGGTGTTAGACAATACACTGAGCAGACGGATCCTGGACCAGAGAAATGTAGATTTTTTACTCTCGCTGCCCTACTTCTCGTCCTTTTTCTGGCTTTCTAGACGTTTTTAATATACAAGGACGGAGAGTGTAAGAATTTGGGACTAATTTGCATGCTTCAAATGCCATGTTTCATCCTTAAATCAGTATCACATGCCCTAAATTCGTATGTCATCAGATAATACTGGAGAATGGGGCGAGCGGGTTAAGGGGGACTGAAACTACATTGGATATAATTGATGGAAAAAGGAGTGTGGAGGCTGTTTTCTAGTTTTCTGTCAGATGTGTGAAAGAGTGAACAGAGGAGGGGGAAAGCAGCAGAGCGGTTTGGACTTTTTTTTTCCCTCTCCTTCTCTATCATTCTATTAAACCGTTTATCTTATCTATGAGACAATCTTTATAAGTGCATGCAAAGAGATGAATGCGTCGAACAAATGAAAGAAGTGAGAAAGGAATGAGGACAACCTAAACTCCCGTTGAATGTTTCCCGCAGTTTTAGGTTACGCAAATAAATATGTGCTTTTTTTAAAGTGCAAATTACGTCCCTTGAACCTACAGTTTGTAATGAATTTAGACTCGTCTCCATCATTAGTCTAGTCCTGTCTGAATCAAAGTCATATATTAGCTCTGTAAAATATTACTTTTAGCACATTTAACAACGGCAACTTTCCACTGAATTTCAGGACTAATTACAATAGGCCACATGTGGCCATGAGAATAAGACATCACTACATGAAAACTACGCGATCTTTAACTATTGTGCACTTCAGCTGTAGCTTCTTTGGTATTGTTGGCTGATATGTGACGAATTGCTTGTGCTGTGAGTTTTTTCATTCGCACTGGATAAAAGCGTTTGCTAAATATAAATAAATATCAATGTACAATTCAGATACTGATACTTCTGTTTGGCCGTCCATGTCTACCCAGCTGTGAGCCGGTGACCTTTTTTTATGATAGCATATACTATTATAAAGTTTTTTGAATTGTATTGAATTTGATGGTGCCATTTTATAATAGCTAAAATGTAATTGTAAACGTGAAATTAATCAATCAAATTATTAGCACAACTGTAATCACTTATTGGTTTAGGAACCCAAAGACCCGAAGTTCGCTGAAAGTCTGCAATTTAGATTTATCATATGTTTAAATTTGTATGAAAATATATTTTTTGTCAATATTACATTTTCATGGGTAGTCATTTTTAGTGCTAAATGTTACACATTATCAAATCGACCCTTAAATTATTTCTATAAGGCGATTCTTGTCTCAAACGCACACGTTTCCCATGCAATAATAAACAAATTGTAAATGAAAATGTATATTGGATAAGTGGCATTAAAGGTCCCATATAAATACACGTAAGCGACAGTTTGAATGTACGCTTTTATGATTACATGAATATATTTTGGTTCTGCTCAAAAGGTTTTCTATTGAGAGAATGAAATAAAAAATGACAATAAAGAGGACAAAATCTGTATGACTCACGAGTCATTGCAGTCTCACTTATATAATGATTATCGATCAGATTTATCACCAATATCATTAATAATTGTGTTCGTTTGATTTTTTTTGTGTGTGTGTCTTTTTTCATATCTGTGCAGTAGACAAAAAGTAGCGAATTTGTGTCTAACTGGGTTTAATCTAAAAATATATAGTGCAAAATGATAATCATGAATGCAAATAGTGACAGGCCTCTAATGCAATCCATCCTCATACCTGCATCAATAAAACCTTGAACCAGTATTTGTCTATAATGTGTAAAAGAAATTTAAAAAAATGTGTTTGTTTATATTAAACAGGCGCAATCTAGATTAAATATCATGCCTTTTCACAGTCAAATAGTACAACATATCCATAATCAAAGAACTGACACGCAAGAAGTGTTAAGTGATGTTTCTAAGGACTCCCAGAGCATACATACAAGTGTTTGTTTAGCTATCTAAATGAAGACGTAGTATACTATCGTTTTAGATAAAGCTAATTATAATCAATATAGATTATCTATATCTATAGACTAATTTTTTAAAATATATATATATATTTACATCTGATATGCGACATTTGACACTCTCTGAACGTGCTTTACTTAACATATCAATCAGATTACATCAAGCCAACTCTACATTTTCTTTTTTGTATTGCATTATTTTAAAAAGCATCGCTAATTTGTCGTTGATGACCATCGTCATATTCAGTTTGACCTTTACAAAATAAGTTTTAAAATCACTTCACACCTTACAAAAACCCATTCAACAGCTGAAAAACAAAGACGTAACTCTGCTGTTTAATCAGCATTACTTTTGCTGCTAATTTTAAAAGCTAAATTTGGCCGCAGTGATCAGTACACAGGAAATATGCCCTCGCTGGATGACAACAACTCGTGCTTAGACATCATTTAAACGATACAAAGAGTTAAAGTCACAAACCAGAAGCTATTCTATTAGTAGTAGGATTCTCATTAAGCCTAATCAATATATTTTTTACTGTGTGAATATTTTGGCTAATGATTTCTAATACATATTTTCAGGAATCAGCATCGCTTGGATGAGTAGTCGACAGCAGGAGAGTCATGGAGGCGGTTGCAGGACACTATCCGTCATATTACAGGTGAGTTTAATTTCGGGAGCACTTTATTTTACAGTCCTGTACATACTATGTGTACTTATTATAGCAATTACAATAACTGGGTAATAACTAGGTACTAACCCTGAACCTCCCCCTAAACCTAACCTTAACACATGTAGTTACCTTAAATTACCAGTAATTTCATAGGTAAGTGCACTGTAAGTATACGTACTGTAAAATAAGTAATTTAATTTCATAAATGACTTTTCGGAATTGCTTTTCCACGTATGACATTTTACTTTTGCAGTAATAGCAAAAAGCCTCAACTTCGCTTATTAGACCCCGCTTTGCCAATATTGAAAAGTATGCAAATGACAGAAGAATCACACAATGAATTATACATTATTAAGTGAGTTATGAATAATTTGCATTGTCCGCCATCAACAACTAGGTCATTAATGACTGCTGTCTGGGTTAAAAGGAAGAACCTTGCGCAATCTCAGTTGTTCAGGAATATCAGCCCCATAATTAATCATTGACGCGACTCTTCAATTGCACATAAAAGGTGAGCTAAAACAGGACCTTAAAGCTGCAAAATAATTTTTTTAAGTTACACATTCAAAGAATTATTGACATGAATATGACGTACAGAATAGAAAGCATCGTTTCACTATGGAGTGTTTTTTAGGTAAAGAGCACAGAACCAAAAATTCTGTAAATTCACAGATTATCAACAAAATCGCTCAACTATTTTGTGATTCGCAATACACCGAATGTTGCAGAAGCCACTGTAATATGCTCATGGAGCGTTACAAATGCTGTTAAGTATTACCAAATGACGCATCTCATAACCTAAAGAGGATATACCTTAATTAAATGCAAATAGAGGTACATTACGGTCAAAAAGAAACCACATTCAGTCCACGCTGAGATTCTAGCATATCCTCTATACTCCAGCTGTTTTCCTAAACTAGGCCTCAAACACGCAGATCCATGTTGCTCAGCTGAAACTATTCTTGCCTTAAGTCTACGAGTCGGGTGCAATGCACAAGCTTATCACTTTTAAGAACAAGTGAAACACGCGTGCGTCGCTTTACATTCAAGATGTGCAGAAAAACATTGAGTGTCCGCGAAGCCATGGCCTGTGTCTTAAACAGCTGAAATGCATGTGCACATACTTGTAAAACACTTCTCACATGCCTATCAGTCAGTCTTAGCACTCGCGAACTCACTTTGCTCTCTGTTCTTTGTTGGCTTGTTCATAAACAGAGTAAGATGTCACTTACCTCTCTGAAGTCAAGGCCCGCAGGACAGTTGAACTCTACCAGCTACATGCACGCCTGAAGGCACGAGTGAATGAAGGAGGGATGCACTGTTAAGGTAAGACCGACACTGAGAGACTCTGCGGAGGCGTTGGTGATGGTTAACTTTTCGGTACGGCAGTCTTCTCTTGGTTCCTCTGATCTTTTCAAGCCTTTGTCATTGTGATCCTGGAAACGAGTGAGACAAAAAACATCATACACCATAGAGTAAGAGAGAGAGAGAGAGACTGAGAGAGAGAAAAAAACCTGTATTGCTCCGACTCAGACCTCGGAGGCAGCTCTCAGTTTGACACAGCGCCTGTCCTTGCCCCTATTTTTTTTTCACTCTCTCTTTCTTATCTATCTTGTGTTTGTTTGTTATTCACCACTATGAAATGCTGTTTGGGAGAAATGTATTCTACAAACTTGTGTCCTTTGGTGTTGTAGGACACTGGTATATTTGTCTCCTCTTCTTCAACCGGGTCCATGAAGGTCCTACATTGGGTCGATGTAGATCATAAAGCATAATAGAATTGATACAGAATCGCAGAAATGCTGGTCGCACTTTATTTTACAGTCCTGTTCTGCATGTGCATGTACTTATTGCAATAACTGGGTAATAACCATATATTCCCAACCTTAACCTACGTTATATTACCAGTACTTTCTTAGGCAAGTGCACTGTAAGAACACGTACCGTAAAATAAAGTGCAACCGAAATGCTTTCCATTTCAACAGCTGCAGCAGTAGATTTTGGATGAAGCCTGCTAAAAGATACTTTTATTAGTGCACTAAAAACAAAAAAAGGTAACATCTATGATATAACTGATCAAAAATATTCACTTAATCAACTAAAACGCATTATGTCACACCAACAGAACTAGAAATAATGAAAATTCGGTCATAATTTATTAGGGGTGTAATGGTTCACAAAATTCACGGTTCGGTTCGATACGATACAGTGGTGTCACGGTTCGGGCCATTTTCGATACTGCACAAAGAAAGAAATGCCAGAGAAATTTCCTATTTATTAAAAGAAAAAATATTTTTTAAATAAGTTTGAGTTTTCCTACATCTTGAAACTTTCAGATTTATAAATGGGGGTAATCTTTGAAGGATGAACAAATAATGTTTTGGTCATCACATTAAAAATAACATTTAAATATAGGCCTATATTTATATTTATATATAATATTTAGATAATATTTGAGTTTTGAAGTGCTGGAAAAAGATGTGTGAAGTACTTGAAAGCATTTCACTATTCCAGCCAAACTTCCATGGTTACAGTTAGTGTGTTACTATATTAAATCCATGGTGAATGTTGCTGATCTGTGGACTTAAAGCCTATAACTAGATCATTCACGGCACAATGTTTCTCCTGGTTTCCACGTCAGCGCTGTTTGATCTAATAGAGATCTACGGTTAATAACGGAGAAATGTGAATGCTTCTCACTAGATCTCACAGCAATGTTATTACTTCAGTGGCGAATTCAAATGTTTTCTTCACTGGATCTCTTAGCGCTGTGTAGTAACAGTGTCGCTTGATCGAGATCGGCCGTAGACAGTATAAGAAGTGGACAGAGCCATCTCATTGGAACTCAGTTGAGACAGTTGAAGCCCATTTTTAGCGATTTTTGAGCACTTCCGTTCCTGACGCGCAGACTCAAACCGACTCAAACTAAGCTTGATGACGTGAGCAACCTGTCTGACAGACGTTACTCTTCTAGTAGCTGTGCGTGAAAACTGCCAACGTTAATCTTGCAGAGACGGGGAACTTGAGCAAAGAGTTCTTTGGCGTGAGTGAGCAGGAGTAAGTATTCCTTTGCTTTTATGGACTCATTATCTATGGGCTTCTCCCTTGACGGGACGTCCCCCCGATTGCCTGCGAGCTTCTCCTCCTGTCTGTACGGTCATTTCTGTACAGCGCGACAGAGAGTCGAGTGGTTATGACGCAATCGTTAGCCTATTTTTACTAAATCTGTTTCTACGGGGCCATAACGTAAGATACAAGGTAATGGAGCCCTTTATACATTGTCGTGTTTCTTTAGAAATAAATAATGGACAAATGGAGTCTTTAAACGCCTCAGATGTAAAGTTATTCGCTGTCAAAGTGACGCCAAAATGAATGGGAGTCAATGGTAATGCTAACGCAAGTGAAGTTCTGCTAAACATGGCGGCACCCGGCCGGCTTCAACTTCCGGTCGATGGATTACCCCCTTGAGATCGGCTCGCGCTGCACAGATGTTGCTGGTCCGAACTGATAAACGGTCCGTGAAGCACAATATGAGTAGCGCAGTTTCGTTCCGCTTTCATTAAGTTTGCCATTTGATGTTGCGCAACGGTGTGGTGATCGCGCCAGCGCGGATTTTGTCGGCAGGAAAAATGGTCCAAGGAATCGTTCGGTTTGTATGCGTACCGAACCGGAAGCCTCGTACCGAAACGGGCTCAATAATTACGAATACATGTACCGGTACACCCCCATAATTTACTCACCGCCACGTGGTTCGAAACCGGTATGACTTTCTTTCCGCTTAGAACCAAGTAAGATATTTTGAAGCTTCTTTTGACTGTTTATTTTCACGCAGTGCAAGTTAGTCCAAAACAACACTGAACCCCATGTAAAGGTTGACTTTGATGTATAAAGAAAAAACATCATCTTTTTTGTGTCACACGAGAAGTCATACAGTTTGAAACGCACATGAGGAAATGATGAGTTTTAATTTTAAGATAACAATTGTCGTTTTTCACCTCGATGTGTTGGTGACACATTTCAGTAGGCCATTATTAATGATTAGGTGTGAAAATGACTGCTGAAATTGCAACGCGTGACACTGCCCTGCTTCATCACTATTTCATGCAGAGATTTTGAAGAGTTTGACAAACAACGATATTTTTGATATTGAAAGTCACACTTTGGCTGAGGATGATATAGAGTTTGGGGATGATGATGATGATGATGATGATGATGATGATGGAGGTGGTGATGCTTGTGAAGATAATGAAGATGGCGTTCGAGATAATAGGGTTTAATGTCTAGTGAATGTGAGTGGGCCGTAGCAGTAAAACCGAGAGTCAGGCATGACTGAGCATTGTTCGGTGAGGAGTTTCACATCAACAGGGCGAGAGGGGGCGGTGTGTCGTTCTTTCTCTCTATCTATATATCTATCTCTTATTGAGAAAGAAGGGAGGAAAAGGAGATCGAGAAAGAGATAATAAAGTCTGTACAAAACCCCAATCAGATGAGAAGTTTTGTGGTTTAAACCTAGCAAAATTGTTTCCTGTTTATAAAGGCATACCTTAAGCTGAATAAGATAAGTCGCTATGTGATTTGACTCCATTTTCTAACTCTCAAAAAACCCGATTCACTGCCGTCAAAAGTTGCCCAGAGTCAAACTGAAACCCCCATCCCCACAGAAAAGACACACACAATCACATATCTACAGACACACACACACAGACACATCTGACAAATACATGTAACACACACAGGTTTGTGACCACACTCTGTCATCTCAAGAGTGCGACGCCGTGTTTTACCAGAAACACGTCGTTGTCTCCGTCGTCTCTGAAATATCACTGTACCCCCGCTGACATTCATATCGACACTCACATGAACAAACAGCTGATGCTATAATGTCATTTGTGACATAATTAAAGTATCAAAACTATTTTCACAAATATTGCTCCAAACATCTTTATATAACAAATAATATTAATAATAACAAAATCAAATGAGTGGAGGGTTACACTTTATTTTGATGGTCCACTTTAGACATTCTTCTAACTATAAGTAACTTTGCAACTGCATGTCAACTACATGTAGTGTCTGCTTAGTATCTGATAACAACTAACATGTCAACTTATTCTACTACTAACCCGAACCCTAACACTTAAAACATCAGTCTACTAATACTCTGAGACTTAGTTGACATGTAGTTTCGAAGTTACTTATAGTTAGTAGAATGTGGACCATCGAAATAAAGTCTGCCCTATTTTAGTCCTGTTTTAAGATTATGTACCAAGTAATTTCCAAACCCAAAACTTAACCTCCGGTTCACTACTGTTATCCACTATCTTTGTAAACTAATAATAATTTAAATACCGAATGCATTTTTTAATCGTAGAGGAGGAATGTTTGTACAAAGAAGCATTTCATACCTCTTATTGTACATTAATTGCAATTACTTTAATATACAACGAGCTAAGAAAAAAAAAAAGTCACTTAAAATAGTTGCTGGGGTTTTTTTTTTAATGAAAAAAAGCACGTTATGTTTAAATAGTTTTTAAATATAACCGGAAAGCACATGCTTTCTTCGATTTTGTCAATTTGAATGTGTTTAAACGGCAAAACGCTGGTGGTGAAATATGTTTATGTAGAAACGGTGTTGTTTTGTTCAGTCTTTATCTAAACATCTACTAACCTTGTTGTTTTTCCCCTTCTGATTATCACTTTTTAGTTCTCACCAAACATTTTTCCGATCTATTTATATTCTTTGAAGTACATATATGTTGATTTAATTAATGTGAATGTGATTGTGTAATTGAATGTTATATTAGATGAGTAGATTTTTTTATTATTAACAGGCATTAGAAAATATATTGATTGTACTTTTAAAGGGTTTTGATGGTTTATCACTCCAACTTAAGAAAAACTAAATTCATTGTGCTCTACCATTGTAGATCAATGTCTTAATTTTGAACTTTTCTGTACCACAAAATGTTTCTTGTCTGTGGGAGGACATGAAAACGAACAGCCCTCAACACCTCTTATATCAGGGAAAGTTTACAATTAGAGTTAGACAAAGATTTCTTCTATAAAATCTCTCACACACACACACACATTAACGTTAAATTCAAGAGCAGCATAAGGCTTATTGCCAAAGAAAAAACGTCACAGGACCATCAGGATCAGATACAAAAGGTAAGTAAATGAGAACTACATTGAAATGTCAGATTTGACCTATGACCTCACAATAATCAACACTAGATTGTCATAAAAATTAAACAAATGGGGCATCGGGTAAAATACAAAATGACCAAATCCTGTAGTGTTATAACTGAAAAAATAAGACCTTTGTCTCATTTTTAGTGCAAATCCTGAGTAAAAAATTAGTTTAAAATGGGTTTATACAGAGAATTAAAAATATTCGTAGTTAGCCATCGTGTTACTTAATTCTCAACTGAAGAGCTTAGATTTATGACATGATCCTGCATGTCATGCCGACCCCGTTCAGCATTTAGATGCTGGAAAAAATTGTCCTTCTTTTTTTACAAGCTAAAGTGTGCAGGAAGTAATAGAGTTTTATATAGTACATATCGTGATCGTACATGACACACATACACACACCTGTTAACTTTAGAGTCTTCCTTTTCCTGCCCTGAGAATTAACGACAAATGGCATACAGCCAAGACACAAGCGCAGCGCACAACAATAATGTATTGTGTGCATAAAATTACACGGAAAGAAATTCAAAGCCGTAGACAAAAAAAAACTCACCTTTCTGCATTATAACACACAAATATTTACAAAAAGACAGACATGCAGCAGTAAATGCATCATATTTGCAATTAAGTTGATTTATTTAATTTAATATGTCTTTGCACTGAAAGTACACTTGACCAGCCTTTTTATTCACCTTTTTATTAGTAGAGAAGAGAAGAGAATACACACACTGATTGACACTCAAAAGTGTGGAAGCCCATTTCCGCCACATAAGAAAAACAACCATGCTTTGGTAAATCATAATTTTATGAGATAAAAAAAGTTATAATTAAGAGATGAAAAGTTTAAATTATGGCATACTAAATCGAAATTATGACGCAAAAAGTTAAACAGTCGAGATTATGGCCAAAAGTCATCCATTTTAAAAAAAGTTTTAATCTCATAATTTACTTAGTATGTCATAATTTCAACTTTTCTATGAGATAATTATGACATAATTCAGAATTATGTCTTAGTATGTCATGATTTTTTAAGTCATAATATTATTTTTTTTGGGCCTGGTTTCACAGACAGGGTTTAGATTACGCCAGAATTAGGCCTAGTTTAATTAAGTAGCTTTTATAAAAGTGCCTTAGAAGAAACATTACTGGTGTGAATCTTGAGACAAAACAATGGCACTGATATATTTTTAAGATATATCAGTGCAAGTGGCTTTCAGTTAAAACAGCTCAAACATGCATTTTAGTCTGAGACTAGGCTTAAGTCGGGGGTTTATCTCATAATTATGACTTAGTATGTAATAATTTCGACTTTTTAACTTGTAATTATGACTGTTCGGCTACCAAAGCATGATTTTTCCCCCCCGGTGGCAGAAATTGGTTTCATAAACAAAAGTTTAAAAATGTAAAATCACTTTAATTTTTCCAATTTAAATGCATTTCTACTTTGACCACTTAAACTTGAAAAAGCAGAAAGGGATTAAAACTGGCCTCAGAGAATATAAAACAGTTCTGAGACAATATGAGGATCTGTATATGTGTGTCTAACCAGGATAAGGATAAGACAACAGAACAGCCTGTTTGGGCCCAAGCTCCAGCTTCTCTACTGACACCTTGAGATCCACGGCTAGATTCTCAGCATCTGTGCTGAGGCGAACCTGAGCTTGAGCCGGCAGGTCACTATTGGTGAGCTTCATGGTGACCGAGTCATTTCCCCAGTTCACAGCGGTAATGAAGCGTTCGCTCTGATCCCAAAGGCGGAGAAATGCTAATGAAGTGGCTGAATTGTGAAAACTGACATATTCTCCGTGGAGAAGCGATCGCTCTTTTCGTTTCAGATCACTGAGCGCTTTGAAGAAGTCACGCACTGCGATACGCTCCTCCTGCAGAGTCTGAATGAGTGGAAGATGGAAAGAGCAAGATGCACAGTGTGCTGGTTTTAAATTTGTAATTAGTACAGTGATGAGATCACATCTACTTGTTATGAATAGCCATGTAAATAAGAATGAGAATGTACCTTTGCTGTTGCATTCGTCGCTTCTACTGGGTTTTCCAAGTCCCACATTGTTTGAAGGTTTTCCTGTAAAGGAGGAATCTTAAGTCATCAGCATTATGACAATAACTTGGCTAAATATAAGCATAGCTTTCTATGCCAAGACTAAGGCCTGAGAATAGCAGAGATATTAAAGACTTTCACAGTCTCGCTGAGAACGTTACTCAGTATTTTTAGCTATTTTCCCTAGCTATTTTCCGAATGCATGTTATTGATGTAATTGTGAAAAATTAATCCGTGCATGCGTTTAAATTTTTATTTTATTTTAATTTTAACCTCAATTCTTAAGTCACTATATAAAAGAAAATATTGGTCGCTACTTCCATTTCATTGCAACTTTAGAATTTTTTTGGAAAGTTTGTATAGGGCCTAAATATAGATATAATATCTGATATTTGTGCCCAAACACTGATTCAATTTCCCATTTATTTATCCATCTATGCTGTTTTCAATCATCTCCCTTGCATGCTCCACTCACCCCTGCCTTGAGTCCGACCTCGTCTCCAGCGCTGAACACAGGAGTGCCGGGCAGTGTGAACAGCAGTGTGTGAAAGAGCCTCACTGGCACTGCTGGAGATCCCAGAGACCGTCCACTCAGACTCCAGCCCAGACTCGTCTGCAGGTGACCAGAGTACAGCTTCTGTATCGCCTGTGCCTGTCTCACGCCGGACCCGGCCGGAGCAGCCAGTTCAGTCAGGAGCAGGTCAACACCTGAGCGGTTCAGCAGGAGAGAGACTTCCTCCACAGAGAGACCGGTGACTGATCCCATCAGAGCTCTGAGAGTGAACAGGAGAGAGAGAGATGGAGAGGTTTGAGTAAGGGGAAACTGTCAAAAATATAGTGAAGGCTAGAAAAAAAATTGGTGCTTGTAAACAAAAGAGAATAAATAGAGGGAAAAACAATTTAAGGGAGCAAGTTGCAGTGCTCATTAGCCCATCTGGCTAGCAGGTGTCTCTATTTCATTAAATAAATCAACAGAAAAGAAATTACAATAGGTCCAGTAATCTATTACTGAGAAACTCTGTTAAACATTTAAATACACATAAACTAACTATGTGTGTGTATGCTGAAAAAAATTGTGTTTGTACATAGTCCTGGCTGTGTAAATTGGAGAAAAAACTAAGTGGATCGTACTGTGTGTATGCTGAAAAAAATTGTGTTTGTACATAGTCCTGGCTGTGTAAATTGGAGAAAAAACTAAGTGGATCGTACTGATCCATGGAGCAACAAAACACTCTTGTAGTCAATCAGCAGTAGGGGGTGTGTCCACTCATGATGGCGAGGAGAGATAGTGAGCCAATCAGCAGTAGGGGGCGTGTCCACTCATGATGGCGAGGAGAGATAGTGAGCCAATCAGCAGTAGGGGGCGTGTCCACTCATGATGGGGGAGGAGAGAGAGTGAGTCAATCAGCAGTAGGGGGCGTGTCCACTCATTATGGGGGAGGAGAGAGAGTGAGCCAATCAGCAGTAGGGGGCCTGTCCACTCATGATGGGGGAAGAGAGATAGTGAGCCAATCAGCAGTAGGGGGCGTGCCCACTCATGATGGGGGAGGAGAGATAGTGAGCCAATCAGCAGTAGGGGGCCTGTCCACTCATGATGGGGGAAGAGAGATAGTGAAGGCCAATTTATACTTCTGCGTCGGGTGCGCGCAGTAGGTACGGCGTAGCATACGCACAGACGCGTACCATACGCCGTGCCCTTCGCCGTAACCTGACGCGCACCTCCTCAAAAATGTAACTACACGTCGCGACGACGCGGACCGCAAGATCTGTGATTGGTCGGCTTGGTAGCATCGCGTTTCCTCCTATGCATTTCCGGCGTGTTCTTCTGCACCGCCCGCCATTTTTAAATTCTAAGTACAGCGAAACTGTTAAAAAAACTAAAAATTTACCTTTTCCACCTCGATAAGCTCCAGCTCCAACTCCAACATGATCTGCTCTCTTTCAGTCGCCATTGCTTGTAGTAACCTAAACTCAAAACAGCCGCGAGGAATCTTCTTCTTCTTGCCGCGAGGAATCTAAACACAGTGGAACATTAAAACCCTCCGCGGCCAACTAGCGTTTCGGCGCTGTACTGCAGAGCAACGCAGACCTAAACGCAGAAGTATAAATGCTCATGACGGCGTCGCCTACGTGCGTAGCCTACGCCGTACACTACGGCGTACACTCGACGCAGAAGTATAAATTGGCCTTGAGCCAATCAGCAGTAGGGGGCGTGCCCACTCATGATGGGGGAGGAGAGATAGTGAGCCAATCAGCAGTAGGGGAGTGCCCACTTATGATGGGGGAGGAGAGAGTGAGCCAATAAGCAGAGGGGGCGTGTCCACTCATGATGGGGGAGGAGAGAGAGTCTATCAGCGGTAGGGGGCATGTCCAGTTATGATGGGGGAGGAGAGAGTGAGCCAATCAGCAGTAGGGGGCGATTCCACTCATGATGGGGGAGGAGAGAGTGAGCCAATAAGAAGAGGGGGCGTTTCCACTCATGATGGGGGAGGAGAGAGAGTGAGCCAATCAGCAGTAGGGGGCGTGTCCACATATGATGGGGGAGGAGAGAGTGAGCCAATCAGCGGTAGGGGGCGTGTCCACACATGATGGGGGAGGAGATAGAGTCTATCAGCGGTAGGGGGCGTGTCTACACATGATGGGGGAGGAGAGAGAGCCAATCAGCAGTAGGGGGCGTGTCCACATATGATGGGGGAGGAAAGAGAGTGAGCCAATCAGCACTAGGGGGCGATTCCACTCATGATGGGGGAGGAGAGAGTCTAGCAGCGGTAGGGGGCAATTCCACTCATGATGGGGGAGGAGAGAGTCTATCAGCGGTAGGGGGCGTGTCCACACATGATGGGGGAGGAGAGAGTCTATCAGCGGTAGGGGGCGTGTCCACACACGATGGGGGAGGATAGAGAGCCAATCAGCAGTAGGGGGCGATTCCACTCATGATGGGGAAGGATGCCAAGATTGGTTTGTTTCTGTTTGATACGTAACATTATTTTTGTTGCTTTTTGACAGAACCAATGCTGTTGTCACAGCTGAGCTGATTCATTCATACTTGCGTTCATACCTGAGTTTACGAGTTGGGGCTGTGTCAGTGAGAAACGTGGTGGAATACCACAATAGCTACCACTTTAACATTGTCAGTTTTTTGTTTACAACAAAATAAGCTAATTGCTTGCACATAATATGATAGCATTGTAATTTAACCATATACAGTGTAACGATAAAGTTTACAGTGGCTTCAAAAATAAATAAAAACATAAAAAGCAAAACACACCTGATGCACAATCTTTGTTCTAAATCTTTTAGACCTAGACTTTAAAAACCTTGCTTTATTTTTGTGTAGTTAATTAAGAGAAGGTACACCGCCATCTTGCTCTGACAAAAGTGAATTGAACGCAGCTGATGTCGCTAACACGACTTCCCAACTCTAAAATACGAACTTTCCAGGACTTGAACGCACCAATAGTTTGGGTGTCGATTTCAAATATCACGTGTTTCTCAGAAATTGCTTACTGCACCTTTAAGAGTTTATATAAGTTCTAAGAACACAACTATAGAGACTTACACTTTTTTAATATTGTCGGTTTGGTTGAATATGACTTGTATAGATGGCCAGTAGTGTGATAATACGATATCTTTCAGGTCAGACAGGAAAATGCCATCAAATCCTTTAGTCAACCAGTATGCACATGCTTCCTAAAAAATTCAAAAACAAATTAAATAGTTAAAAATAAGTTGGTATCATATACTTTTGTATACATGTTGTAATTCTAATATCTAAAATCTACCATTTTTCTCATATGAGTTTCTCATCTTTTCATCTACCCGTATTCTCCGTCCACATGAATAGCACTTCCTTCACAATTTCCTCTTGTCTTATCAGCACTTACTCTGATTTTCTCAGCAACAGTGGTAACATTCTTGAACCAGACTGAGGGTTTTTCATAGTTGGGTGTTAAATTCAGCACTATGGAGATACCTGCGAAAGAGAGAGAGAAAGAGACAGAACAGGGGAAAAGAAGGGGCGGGAAAATAAGACGATCATCTATAAAGTTAACACAGGCTTAATGTTTGTATTGTAGTGTTCATTTTAATTTCATTTGCATTTACAAAATCCCTCATTCGCTGAAAATAGTCAAAATTGCGACACTTGGCTCAGTCAGCAGAAGCTTCTTTTTACACTGCTAACATAATGTATTTTCAAAATAAAAATAAACCAGTGACTCACTACAGATGTCAAGGGTGAACTTGTAACTTGTTATACTGTAGCACAGAAGAATCAAAAGACCAATCGTAAAATGGCTTCAATGTTTTGATGTCTATTTTAAGGTGTGGATGTTGTCATCGAGGATGATTCAAATGTACAGCTCTTAGCAAACCTTCAGCGGCAGTCAAAATTAAAAAGGTACTCCTGGATGAAAGGTCATTCAGGGTCAAAGGTCACCTCTTTTATGCGCTTGCTCCAGCAGAGATTCCAGTTCATTCTCAGTGCCTACTTCAGATTTAATTGAATTTAGATTCAGTGTATCCGGCTGGTCTGCTTGCACAGTGTGTATCGGACCCAGAACAAGCCCCTTCACCTTCATCTGGCTCAGATAGTCCAGCTTCTCCTCCACTCCTACAGAGAATGAGAGCACGAAGAAAAAGAAAGATGAGGAGTATTGCACAGCCTGAACACTGGGCCTCTTTTATACATTATGACCGCCATGAACTTAAAACTAAAGTAGACATTTGACATTTGTCATGCCTATAGTACTAATGTAGTAGGCTACTTTACACACACACACATATATATATATATATATATATATATATATATACCGGGTATGTCAATTCAGATAAGAATCAAAATAAATTTGTTTTGGCTACTGCATGTATATATGTGCAGAAGGGCTGTCAAGTTCAAATTTTTAATATTTGTCTAGTTTAAAATAAAAATCAACATTAGAATGCAAAAACGGTGCATCCGAATTGTAGGTGCAAGATGTGCGACGATGATGTACGGGTCGTTGTTGCGCTTTAATGTTTTAAAGAGAAGATCTTGGTTGAGTCAAAACCGTAACCAAACCGTTCACGCAGAACACATTTTCTGCGCTCCTTTTCCATTGATTTCAATGTAAATATGCGCTAGACGGACAACTTTGACCGTTGCACTCGCGTCTCGCCCAAGAGAGCTGCGTGTTTAGAAGACATGTAAAGTTGAAAGAAGTTTTCGAGATGTTGTGGTCATTCTACTGCATCTCATGTTTTTAAATGCAGAAAGTACTCTGTGTGATCGGCTCTTTGTAAACTGCGCATGAACAGGTGCATGATGCTGTTTTGTTCATAATTGTTTTAAATGCAATTTACGAAATGATATTGGATTAATATTTTGATCATTGCGCCCTCTTGTGCCCTCAGGAGAAATTTTATTTTTTCTCCCTAACTGAAATTATGCTTTTTAAATTTGAATATAAATGAAATATTAGTAATATTTAAGTATAGCTACAGTTCGAATTTAGTTTTTCAGCCATTTTGACAGCCCTAATGTGCAGTTTGCAATTCTACAATATACTGTAAAACAAGGCTACTGATCCAATAAACAAAAAAACAAACAAACATGGCAAATAGAATTTAAAACCTTTAAAATTGTTTAATGCTGTGATTTCTCTAAGGCTTTATAATTGTTATTCAAATAATACACATAGACGTGGGGGATGAAAAAAGAAGATATTTCCATTTAACTCACCTTTCAGTCCATTGTCAGAGAAAGTGTTCAAGTCAGATATCTGGTACAGAAGACCTTCGTTCCACCAGTTCATCTCAGGAATGGGTTTACAGCGTGGAGCCTGTACTATGATCACTATTGCTCCAGCTAACATGCCGACCCAGCCGAGCCAGAACAGAACCAGCAAAGCCCAACGAGTCCGAACCCACCTGGTGAAAATAAGCAAATGATAGATAGATAGACAGACACAGACAGACAGATAGATAGATAGATAGATAGATAGATAGATAGATAGATAGATAGATAGATAGATAGATAGATAGATAGATAGATACAATGATAGATACAATGACAGATAGATAGATACAATGATAGATAGAATGACAGATAGATAGATACAATGATAGATAGATAGACAGACACAGACAGACAGACAGACAGACAGACAGATAGATAGATAGATAGATAGATAGATAGATAGATAGATAGATAGATAGATAGATAGATAGATAGATAGATAGATAGATAGATAGATACAATAATAGATAGAATGACAGATAGATAGATAGCGTACCCAGCTGTACCAGCGATTTGGATTAACTCGTCTTTGGAGAGGCCGTACTTCACTCCAGCGTTCTCTGAGACCGTGACCTTCACGCAGCCGTTGTTTTCTCGGGTCATTAGCTGTTTTACCTGATCCACCTCCTTCAGTTCTACGTCCTTCATTTCTTTTCTCTATGTTAGTGTGTCAAAATACTGAACAAAATCATACAAAGCAAAAACTATTAGTTACAACAAATTCATTACATTTCAGGCAAGAAATGGTTACCACGTATGCGAACTGCTTTAAAGTGAAGTTTATTAATTATAGGCAGCCATAAAAGTTTAATAATGAACAGACCATAAAAATCATTATTTTTAACAATACAGCAACATAGAGTGACTGTAAAGCACGTAGAGTTAACTGCTGCTGTCATAGCTTCAATAGTACATAGTTTGATAACATAGAATAAAACTATAACAAATGATCAAATAAAAAATAATACAAAAACAAAAATACCTGAAGATTGCTCAGTTAGATATCTTTGTAGAGTTCAGGCGAGTCGTCCTCAGTGTTGTCGGACAGAACACAGTGGTTTGGTGGTCAGTTCACTTTTATGAAGACGACTTCATCTGTTCCCGCCCCTAAAAGCCAACAAGTACACACAGCACTGGAGGAGTGACGGTACAGAACCGATTAACCACAGAAAATACAAGCAACTTAATAAAATACGTGTTTAAATGTCACGTGTTACCTTTGTATGCACAAACAACGGCTTTTATAGTTTGGTCGGGCAGTGTAAGCATACCTAAGCAAACCTATTCCCACAAACGCTTGCTTAATGCACTTACCACCAAGACAGACAGACAGTTTTTTTTTTTTTTTCTATTGCAGGAAGATGTAAACGTTCTCAAAGACACATCTTCCCTCCCTGTGTCCTTCCCTCAGTTTAAGATGAACAATAGCAGCTGAGGGGAAGAGGAAGAGTCTGAGGAGTGCGGTTTGTTTTCTCAGCTCTGCACGGGGTCCTGAGGTTCACAGATGCTCTGCAGGGGTTTGGGTGGACCTTCCTAAGCCTGTCTGATCCTGCTCTCCAGAACCTCTTTCAAACACACACACTCACACACACACACACACACACACACACACACACACACACACACACACACACACACACACACACACACACACACACACACACACACACACACACACTCACGCTACAACCAGATGGAACTGCTCTGTTTTTTTTCTCAAGCGTGTTTATTGTTTCTGTTGTAGGCTTTGAGGAGTCGGTGTGTTGTTGGAAAAGAATTGTGCTTCATTCCAAAGTAGGTCACTAGTTTTCTGTAAAGTACTGTAATAACTTTTTTTGGGAGATATAAATAGTAGGCCTTTGCATGAACATAACATTTATGGTAAAGTTTATTTTAATTCTTGGTCTGGAACATACATGGATATTGGCTGAAAACAAGAATTTGTGTCTAGAAACACAAAGTAAATGAAATAGACAAAGTATAATATGTTTTCCATACAGATAAATGTTTTACTATTATCCTGTAGGCCTATCTTTATCCGGTAAGTATTGTAAAAAAAGAAATAAGAAGAAGATATTGTTTTTACAAGACAGCATGTATTCCACTTGTAAAGTATAATGTAGAGTAATAGATTGGGTTACGTTTTATTTTAAGGTGTCCGTCCGTATTATAGTGTAATTATACAATTTATTACAGGTACCCAGCCAGCACAGCCATGTGGGGCCCACATGGGTTAGACCTGGGCTATCTAACTGGGACCCAGACAGTTTTGCTCCCGGTTTCCATGTAGGTCCCACATGGGTTTGCCCAGATGAAATGAATACTGCTCAGTGTGCACACTATAGGCTGTTAAATGTAACACTGACCAGTGTTGGAGTTAATGAGATAATTAAGTGATTGAATAATGATTGAGCATTATTGAAGACACCTGATGTTAACAAGCAGAATCACTGAAGGAGAAAATCACAAATTGTAAGCCACCGGTATGGCGATCAGCGTTTGCTTTAGTTGGACTCTTGACCCTTAGACTGTCATTTTAAATTTTGTTTGTCTGCTGTTATTGATTTATAACAGTCAAATGAACAAAGAAAAGTGTGATCTTATAGTGTTGGTTATGTTTTGGCATAATCATGCTGTGATCTGATAAATGGAACTTATTGAGATGGTTCAACTTCTGGTTCAACATGTTAGCAACAGCTTTGTGATTCCACAGCATATGATTATCAGTATTTTTTTTAATCCAAAATATTTAATAAACATTGTTCTGATCAAAACACTTTCAAATGAATTTATTTAGAAACACAGACATCAATAATCAGTCTGTGAATCTCAACAATGGTGACAATAATAATGCATGTTGCAGTGGCTGCCACCAATCACAACTCATTACTGGCTCCCATCATGCATTGCGGTATGAATAAATTATGATCTGAATTGTCTATGTAATTTACTTTTCCTAATTGAATATTCTGCTCGTCACCATTATTGAGATGCATTGACTGAATCTTGACGTCTGGGTGTGCCTAAAAGAAAGATTTTTTTTTGAAAACAACTTTTAAGAAATCCTTTATATTATATCTAAAATTCTGGATATTTATGCAGAATCACAGTTATGCTGTAACCAACAGCATAAATCACTAAACATAAGGTTCAAATGATGACATAAATTTCATAATATAACCAACACCATTACATAACTTTTTTTTTTTTTGTTCTTCTGGCAGTTATAAGTCAGAAACAACAGCCAAACAAAATCTAAAGTTAATAACATAAGGGTCAAGAGCCCAACTAAAGCAAACAATGATCGCCATAACGGTGGCTTACAATTTTCTCCTTCAGTGATTCTGCTTTAGGTGTCTTCAATAATCTTCAATCATATTCAATCACTTAATTATCTCATTAACTCCAACACTGATCAGTGTTACATTTAACAGCCTGTAGTGTGCACACTGAGCAGTGTTCATTTCATCTGGGCAAACCCATGTGGGGCCTACATGGAAACCGGGAGCAAAACTGGCTGGGTCCCAGTTAGATAGCCCACGTCAAACCCATGTGGGCCCCACATGGCTGTGCTGGCTGGGTACTTACTAGGGTTAGGACTGGGGTTTGATTTAGGGTAAGTTAATTGTTATTACTACATGTCCATACACCTGTCAGAGTGCTGAGGTCTTGTGATCAGTTGCTCCTCGATGTGCCCAGATCTAGGTTGAAGAATAAAGGTGACAGAGCCTTTGCAGTGGCTGCTCCATACCTCTGGAATAGTTCACCTATTCATGTAAGGAAAGCTCAGACCATTGTAACATTCAAGTCCTTGCTTAAGACCCATTATTATGCCTTGGCTTTCAATTCAAGTTGAGCTTTGATATCTTGACCTATTGTTGCTTATTTTTATTTTTATTGTGTTTTGTGTTTTGTTTGTGTATTTTTATTTCATTTTTTTATCTTGACTTTTGTTAAGCACTTTGGTCAATCATGGTTGTTCTTAAACATGCTATATAAATAAACTTGAACTGAACTGAACTACAGTAACTACATGTAAAGTGTGTAACAAGGACACTGTAAAATAAAGTGTTAACAATTATTGTTAAAATAGGCATTTGGATTTATATAATATGACTGTATAACAGTTATTTTGAGTTTTAAGCCATGAATTTCTGTGCGTTGTTAGAAAGTTGCTGATTTCTCACATCAGGTTAACCGTTTGCAACTTTTTAGTTGTCTGTTAAATGGGAAAAGTGTAATTGTGGACATGTGTGTGTTCATTTTCAGGTCACCTTGATTTTCTCCAAGTCAGGCACGTTCCTGGAACAACATTCCTGCCTGAAAATGTAGTCCTAAACCTTATCCCTATCCCTAAACATAACCCTAAAACCAGAGGAAAATGATAGGTGAATAACACTGATATAGAAGCTCTCTACCCTGGTTTTAGGCCTAAACTTGTCTCTCAGATCAGATGTGATTCTAATTTGAATCTGGTTGATTGAAATGTTGTTCCAGGATCAAGAAAGATGTTGATCCAGAAACATGTTACACTTGGTAAAATCACGTTCGCCATTCATAAAGTGCCCTCTAGTGACCAACTGACCCATACTGCCATTTACAAGCCTATATTTATGGCCTGGGTGACTAATTGGAGATTAAACGTTTAGTTATTTAGCATTTTTAATGTACACCATTCAAAATTTTCCCCAGATAGCAAATGACATCTGGCCCAGTTGTGGCCCACATCTCCCACATTTTTTCTGGCCCACATAACGAATGGAATGACTGCGATGACTCAACCTGATCGAGGCTGGCAATAGCATACATATCTGGGCCACATCTGGGCCAACTATGGCACATGCCACAGGTCTGGCAGCGGCAGAGGTCACATGGGCCACACACAGCAAACCATAACTCACACTAAAACCAGCTTGATGTATGTGGGCCAGATACTGCCCATATGACCTTTGCCGCTTCCAGAACTGAGCCAGCCATATGTGCCATAGTTGGCCCAGATGAGGCCCGGGATATGTATGCTATCTGGGTAGGGTCAGTAAGATTTCTGAAAGAAGTCTCTTCTGCTCACCAAGGCTGCATGTATTAAATCAAAAATACAATAAAAATAATAATAAAATAAATAAATACATTTAGTTTTTTTACCATATTTTAAAATGTAATTTATTCCTGTGATGTAAAGGTGAGTTTTCAGCATCATTACTCCAGTCAACATTTCTTATTATTATCAATGTTGAAAACCGATATGCTTTTTAAAAGTTAGATAGAACGACAGATAGATCGATATAAACCATGTTCTATTTTTTTTTCTGGGATTGTTTGATGAATAAAACGTTTAAAAGAACCATTTATTTAAAATACAAAGTTCTGTCATTAAACTCTAGATGGCGCAGGCTGATAGGTCCTTAACTCAATCTGCTTGCAATCACATCATTGTATATAGGCCACAGCTGATTGGTTCCTGCTGTATCAGTAGCCAATGAGCTCGCAGCTCAACCTTCAAATACTTGGTCAGCTTTTGCAGTTGCAGCGGGCGTTCAGAAACCCTCCACCTTCCCCAGCTCCACCTGTATAGATCTGCTACGGGTAATTCATGTACGCTATATTGTGCATCAATTTAATGCATCCTTGCTGAATAAAAGTACTTTTTTTTTTAATCTTACAATTCAATCATATGAATTGTAGTGTACTTTTGTGTTTAAATATTTGTATGCATAGAAGATTTTTCTTTGAACTTTGTATATTGTATCTACAAAGTAAAGTCTTGTTTTAATAATCAATATAATTTAAATATCTGGTCAACACTTCCAAGATATTTCTTCTATCCATATTTCCTGCTTTATGATTAAAATGAGGAATTATGGTCTGCAACAACTTTCTTTTGATATACTGTAAGCATTAACCACACCAGTGGAGTAAAGTGGACAGTTTCACACAAAAACAGTAGCCATTTTTAGTTTTTTATTATAGCAGGGGTTTTAGATCTACATGTCTCTGTATGGAGATCATCCTCTATTCTACAACAACTGTGACAATTGGCTTTTCATTGCTTCAAAATTAGTCCCCCTAAAATCATTCCTATAACTTCAATATAAACTTTTCTACTCAATAGACAAAGTCTTTCCAAACATGTGCACAGTGTTGACTCTGATCTGAGACATTAAGGACTGTCTGTGTGTGTGTGTGTGTCTAACCAGGATAAGGATAAGACAACAGAACAGCCTGTTTGGGCCCAAGCTCTAGCTTCTCTACCGACACCTTGCGATCCACGGCTAGATTCTCAGCATCTGTGGTGGCACGGACCCGAGCTTGAGCCGGCAGGTCACTATTGGTCAGAGTCATGGTGACCGAGTCATTTCCCCAGTTTAAGGCGACCAGGAAGCGTTCGCTCTGATCCCAAAGGCGGAGAAATGCTAATGAAGTGGCTGAACTGTAAAGACTGACATATTCTCCGTGGAGAAGCGATCGCTCTTTTCCTTTCAGATCACTGAGCGCTTTGAAGAAGCCACGCAATGTGGTGTGCTCTTCCTGTACAGCCTGAGTCAGAGGAACGAAAGGAAGAAACAGAGTGTGTGTTTTTAAAATATGCATTTACTACAGTGATATGAAGAGAAATGTGAAAATGCGATAATGTAAATGTACCTTTGCCGTTACATTGGCATCTTCTGCTTTACTTTCCAAGTCCCACATTGCTTGAATCTTCTCCTGTATGGGTTAAATTATGTCAGCTTCATGAATAAAGTAAAGGTTTATTATAGACATCTTGCTTGATTTTCATTGCATGCTCCACTCACCCCTGCCTTGAGTCCGACCTCGTCTCCAGCGCTGAACACAGGAGTGCCGGGCAGTGTGAACAGCAGTGTGTGAAAGAGCCTCACTGGCACTGCTGGAGATCCCAGAGACCGTCCACTCAGACTCCAGCCCAGACTCGTCTGCAGGTGACCAGAGTACAGCTTCTGTATCGCCTGTGCCTGTCTCACGCCGGACCCGGCCGGAGCAGCCAGTTCAGTCAGGAGCAGGTCAACACCTGAGCGGTTCAGCAGGAGAGAGACTTCCTCCACAGAGAGACCGGTGACTGATCCCATCAGAGCTCTGAGAGTGAGCAGGAGAGAGGTTTGAGTAAGGGGAAACTGTCAAAAAATAGTTCTCTGTTATATGTATTTTCTTTCATCTGTATTCACTATCTGTGAGCAGTACCCCATTCTGTCCACCAGGTGCCTCTGTTTAACTAGTTACATTTCCCCAACTGAGTTCTGACCCCATTTAGTTCTTCACTAGCCACAAGCACATACGTTTTTTTGGTGTCGTCAGTTTGGTTGAATATGCCTTGAATAGACGGCCAGGCTTCGGTGTTTGCGATGTCGTTCAGATGAGACAGGATGATGCCATCCACCCCCTTACTGAGCCAGTATACGCATGCTTCCTACAATGAAGCCATAGAATGGATCAAATAAATCTGTTGATATGGCATTGATTAATAAAGTACTGAATTACACTTTTTTAGTTTCCATTTACACTGCCGTTCAAAAGTTTTGAGGTCAGGAGTTTCATCTGCACACCAAGGCTGAATTTATTTGATCAAAAATACCGTAAAAACAGTAATATTGTGATATAGTATTGCAAATTTAAAAAAAACTGCTTTCTGTTTTTATAGATTTTCTTTATGTAATTGTCTCTTTTGTCCACTTTCAATCACTTCTGTCCTGATTTCTTCGAGGGGAGGGTCTACGGGCGGGTAAATGTGTGGGCTTTTTCAGATCTTTCAATCTAATGGACAAAATAAATAAGCTCAAGCAATTTACGTATGAACAGTACATGTTAGAACGCATTCGATCACATGAGCGTTTACACTACGAAAGCACTCCGGGTGAATGTGTTTTCGACTACCTCTGGAAGTGGTGGAAAGTGGACAAGCTCAAAACGTTTTAGACCCCGTTTACACCTGTATTTAGCGTCGTCCACTTGTCATCCGATTGATGAAAACGCTTGGTGTAAACAGGGCCTAATATGCTGATTTGATCCTAAAGGAACATTTCTCATTATCATCAATGTTAAAAACGGTTGTGTTGCTTAATTATTGTTGTGGAAACCACCTTTATCAAAGATTCTTTGAGGAATCGAGTTCAAAAGAACAGCTTGAATAACTTGAATATGATTTTTCTTTACTGACACTGATAAAAAGTGACCCCAGACTTTTGAACGGTAGTAAACGGCTATGCTGATATCAGAAGTATTCTTTTTTTCCTTCCCTGCTAAGTCTCTTTATACATCTCAAAATCTTGTTGCCTTTTCTCTCATCAATAAATCTACCCTCTCCTTATCAGCACTTACTTTGAGTCGCTCAGCAACAGTAGCAGCACTGTTGAACCAGGCTGAAACTCCTTCATAATTGGGTGTTAGATCCAGCACTATGGAGATTCCTGAGAGGGAGAGAGGAAAACAAGAAGAGGAGGGGGAGAGTTAACAAACCAGAAGGCTGTTAAATGACCTTTCCTGAGTTTATCCTTCCTGACAAAACCAAAAGCCTAATGTTTGCATTGTATGATGCCTTTATTTTCTGGAAACCACAGTGATGTTCCTGCTAAATCCACACAACGGTGTTTGATTTACTGTCAGTGTGAAGCCAGTCCTCCCTGTTGACTCTAAAATGGTACAATATATATCTGTGAACTGCAAGGGGAACATACAGATTGTTTGTGAGGCGACAAAGTTCTGTATATTTCTATATATAGTTCCAATATAAGGAACTAGTTAAAATTATGACGCTAATTGTATGCCACATAGTCAGGGTAAGAGGTCAGAGGTTAAACTGACAGTTGTTTCAGACAGCCTTCCCCTAACACAGAGCCACAGGATCTTAATGATAAGGTCTATTCCAGTGACTTATTTTGTGATTTCAAAAAAGATCAATATGTGACGAGGCTGATGTTTTATTTCGAAAACCATCATAGTAAACGAGTGAGGTCACCTTTTCTATGTGCTCGTTCCAACAGAGAAGTCAGCTCGCTTATAGAGCCAAATTCAGGGTTAATGGCAGTTAGTTCCAGTGTGCTTGGCTGGTCTGCTTGCACAGTGTGTATCGGACCCAGAACAAGCCCCTTCACCTTCATCTGGCTCAGATAGTCTAGCTTCTCCTCCACTCCTACAGACAGAATGACAGTTAGAAGAGTTAAAAAGAAGAAGAGGAAGTGAATGAGAGATCATCATCATCATCAGATAAGCTGCTTCCTTTAACTCCAGCCACAGGACGGTCTTTTAATTATTAATCGGCTTTGATTGATTAACCACAGTACTGTGCACAGCTGAATATATCAGGGTTTAAGGTCACTGTACTTGATTATCTTAATTTAGTCTACGGTGTGTGTGTGTGTGAGAGTGTGAATACTTGCGCAATATCACAATTACAAACTCAGCCAAAGTTGGGTTTAGAGAGGGCAGCACATGCTTCCTCACATGAGGGAGTCACAAGACAGTCAGCATCAGCAAATCTGCTATTTTTTCCACCCCCAGTTTCACAGACGAGGCTTAAGCTAGTCCCAAACTAACATGCATGTTTGAGCTGTTTTATTGCACTTGCACCGACATATCTTAAAATATGTCCCAAGATTCACACCAGTAATGTTTCTTCTAAGGCACGTTTATAAAGCTACTTAAATGCCCTAATTAAACTAAGGCCTAATCCTGGCTTAATCTAAACCCTGTCTGTGAAACCAGGCCGTAGTGTTTTATCTTAGCAAAGAATGTACCATGTACTTGATGTCTGATTTGTTTATTAAAAATTATTATAGATCATTATTAAAGTGTTATTTATCAAGAGCGTATGAAGTTGAGAGATGATGGCAAGATGCGTTCCCATTTTCTCAATGATTAACACAAATAGTAAGCAATTTGCAAATGACTAAGGCATTAAATGGAGACATTCTCACCTTTCAGTCCATTGTCAGAGAAAGCGTTCACGTCAGATATCTGGTACAGGAGACCTTCGTTCCACCAGTTCATCTCAGGAATGGGTTTACAGCGTGGAGCCTGTACTATGATCACTATTGCTCCAGCTAACATGCCGACCCAGCCGAGCCAGAACAGAACCAGCAAAGCCCAACGAGTCCGAACCCACCTGGTGAAAATAAGCAAAGGATTGATAGATAGACAGACAGACAATAGATAGATACTTGCACCTGATAGATAGATAGATGGATGGATAGATGGATAGATAGATAGATCGTACCCAGTTGTACCGGCGACTTTCATTAACTCCTCTTTTGAGAGGCCCGTAAATTTGACTTCTGTGTCCTCAGGCACTTTGACCTTTACGGAGCCATTTTTTTCCGTGCCTGTCAGACTTTCTCCGGTCATCGGCAGTTTTTCCTGATCCATCTCGTTCAGTTCTACGTCCTTCATGTCGTCCTCTTTATTCATGTTTGACGGTGATTTCGGAGCTGTCCGTTTAACCCTCTGTGGAACTACTTATGAAATCACAGCTAGAAAAAATAAATGACATTATATTTTACATATATTTAAGACTCAAATCAATTTGCAAAATTAGTTTTCAAAATCTGACCCTTTGACCTTTATCAGGGTTTCATCATTTATAATGGACTCATTAGGGTAAATTATTTTTCACTATTGTCAATACTTTCTGGAAAAGTACAGCCTTTTCTCCCTGTCTTCTATAAAACGTACTAACATCAACCTAAAACACAGGCAAAAAGGATATTGTACTGCCTGCCAATAATGAACAATAGTGCCAGCTACACAGAAAATATGTATCTCCTGAGGACTTTGTCATTTATACATAACACACAGATTTTTTTGGTCTTTGAGTTATTGATTTTACAAAATGTGCATTAAAAATGACCAAAAACTTAAGAAAACACATTTGGATGTACAATAATTTATTTTTAATTGAATTGATGTATTTCCTCATCTAAAATGTACTCACAAGTCTTGACAGCATGTGACCTAACATGTGCTAATGGCTCCTTCACTTCCTTGTTGCCAAAAGTGTCAAGCACATGGCTAATAGATTTTAATTTTATTGGCTGAAGGGGAGGTCACATGTTAATACTAAACTGTAAAAAATTGTTTGTTATTGTTTTATATTGTATTCTAAATGCAATTTTCTCTGTGTAATTTATAAGTGACGATACATTAAGGTTAAAGGAAAATGATGATTAGAACCAACAATAGAACCTAGACTAACTCAAAACAAACAAACACATAAATGTCTTAATAAAATCAAATAAACAAAGATTTTAAACGCGTTTCAAATTTGTTTGCAGAATACCATATTAGGCTACTTTATGTTTTTGCATAATTATGTTTTTTTATAAAAGTAGGCTGTTAACACAGAATAGTCCTAATGAATGAATAAATGAACGAGACATACCTGCAAAAAGAAGAAGCTTCCGTTTAAAGCAGGACTCGCGCCGTTAAACTCTACAGAGACCAGATCTGGTGGTCAATCCAGTTTATATAGTGGCGACTCCACTTGCATCCGCCCATTCGCTATCTAAGGAGGAACTCCAGAGTAACTTGGAAACAGATAAGACTACACTAGTCTTCTGCGACGACATCAAAACTACACGCTTTTTCAATGTACCTTACTGAATTTGCATAGCCCCACTGCTCGAGAAGTTACACTACAATCACGACTGTAATACAATTATAGATACTAAAGACCTTCCACCTTAAATATTCCCTCCTGATCGAGCATCATTGAGCATGAGTTCACGTGAGTGAACTGGAATTCATCCTGAAAAAACATCCCCATGAGAACCAATACATCTCTCTCTGATGAAAAAGAAAATAGTTGAGGAGTAAAAGCGCTAAAAAATCAGTCATAAAAAAGTGCTTACTCAGAACATTCAAGCAGTCTTCTTAAGACTACCCTGAACAGCAATAGCCATAAAGTGCAACGCTTAAACTGTATTTATTGCACAATCATGTCATAAAACATTGGGTTGAGCTTTCTGTAACAAACATCCTGCACACAAAGGCTGAATAATTTGATCAAGATAATGTCTGTTGATAAGAGACAGATAAAGTAAGTTAAGTATCCCTTAAAAAAAAACCATTGGAAACAAGATTGCTCATCCTGATTGCATGGGTAAAATTGAATATTTTACTGCTATACACTTTTGTTCCGTAAATGTTAAAAAGCCACAAGCCAGTTAGCAATGCATTATATGTGAATATAAACACAGGTTTCATTTTATGTGTTTTTTCTTTTCTTTTCCAGAGGTTGGTTGAAAAAACGACATGCCTATATCCCTGCTTGCTTTACAATAGAAAGGAGGTAACAACACAAGTGGGGGATTTTATAATGACACATGGCATACTTTCCAAACTTGTTGTCGGCTCGACCAACATTGTGCAATGTGCAGTCAGTTTCTTTATCTCATGACTGTAGTTGTCATGATTTCTTCTTTAAATAGCAATCTCATCACAATGAACATTGTACTTCCAACTCTACTGTGCTTCCCTCATTAGTCCTCGATTTTTATTTTGAACATTTATGGGGTTGTTCAGCAAATAAATACTCTGAAAAATTCTCTCGCCTGCCAATGTTCACTTTCCCTCTCAGCCTACCAAGAGAACAATGTGTGAGTGTTTTCCCCATGTGACAGAACAGTATGTTGGCCCCTTCTGCCTCACAGTGAGGAGAATTTCAAACAGTCCCGGGGCGGCAGGGTCACAGGGATTACCAATAATTCTCTCTGTACTGGGAGACTGTCTTTTTCAAACTCTGCTTTAAAGCATCCTGTAGTGTTCTAATCTAATCAGCCTGAGATTGTCCATAAATTCCTATAGATTATTGCTTGTTTTATGCTTGCAAAGTTCATAATTACACTGTTCAGGAGTTTGAGGTCAGTTATATTTTTTATGTTTTTGAAAGAAGTCTCTTATGCTCACCAAAACGGTGTAAGACTGGAAGAACTGGTTTATGGAATCAACCTCACCACAGGTCAATAAGACAAAGGACCTTGCTTGCACTTTAACATTTTGAACATCTCACACACACACACACACACGCACCCCCCTTCCTCTGAGCACCTTATCTACATTTTCTCTCTCTCTTAGTCAGTAACACTAAAAACTCACACAAGAATATATATGGTTTTAATGTGAATGTGATTATCTTTAAGGATTGTTTAGTATCATTTTAAAGGTCTCAGGGTGACTGGTACAAATGTCTCATTCCCAAAGAAGTAAATCAAAAGGTAATAAAGTTCTTAAGAATATAGAAATATCTTGCACACAGAAGGGTGTGTCTTTGAGTTAACACCTTCTGGTCATTTGTCTGAATGCTAATTTTCACTGTTCCTAGCAAATGGTCAAACTTCTATCCTCAGTAAGTCTGGGGAGGAGACCACAGTAAATTTCCACTAAACTCATGTTTTACATATCAAATAAGGTCTGGCTATATAAGGAAAATGCAACGAGAGCTCAGGGCTGTTTTTCTGTATTCAGATTAGCCCGTGTGGTTGAGGGTCTCGCGACTCTCAGCTCACGTAGCCATACAATGTCGGCGGGTAAAGGATTTTCCTCTTTGTTCTAGAACATTTGATGGTTTGCATTGATTAATTTATCTTTCAATTGATTATGGAATTGTAATAATACATTTACCTGACATAATAAATTGTTATATTTGATTATTCGAACAGACTTTGACTTTATTTTCATTGGAGTTAAAAGTAATAGTCAAACATTAACGTATATTTAATGATGCACAGATATCATTGAAAAACTTTTTCATTTTATGGAGTCAGATGAAACGAGTTAATAACATAAGATAAAATGTATTGCATTTAATTAAAAATCCCTTTGCCATGGGAAGAGACGGAACACGCGTGAGACCTTCACCGCTAATCCAGTACCGCCATTGGATCGAATTAGACGGCCTTACAACGGCATTTATGTGATCAAAAATACAGTAAAAACAGTAATATTGTGAAATATTATTACAATTTAAAGAACATTTTTCTATTTAAATATATATTAAAATGTAATATATTCCTGTGATGCAAAGCTGAATTTTCAGGATCATTACTCCAGTCATCTCGGTTGAAATTGCGGGGCCACCAAGCCCCGTTCACGTGACATGAAGCGACTTGATCCCATTCATTTTCAATGGAGGGCTGGCAACTTCCGTTAGAAGTCGACAGAATGTCAAGCAGCGCGAGTCAGGTGACAAATATTTTACTTTATGCAAATGAGCAGCGACGGGGGCCCCTAGAATAGTCCCCAACTTTCGCCCCGCTAGTGATGGCCCTGCCCTCACAAAACAAAAACAGCAGACAGAGTGAATGAAATTGCAAATTCACTCTCTGACAGTAGGTGGCGCTTATCGAACAACAGCGAAATAGCATTTCCTTGGTTACCGCTGTACTTTTGAGCATGGCATGTGAATTAGGTCAACCAACTGACATCCATTCTAAGGCGACCATTTGAATTCTCTGTAGGTCCTTATAATTGCATAATTTTATACTTTTGTGTCAAAAAGTGTGTCAAAAACTACATGTCTTGCTTGCTAACAACAGCAGCGTGTCGTATGTATGACCCGTACTTGCTCTGCAGCAGCAACAGCGAAGGAGATATATTACACCAAGACCAAACAAATACGCCATGTACATTACCATGACAAACACGCAGAGAGATGTCATGACAGAAATAATGTTGTTTCAAAAAACAATATTTTTAAAAAAAGTTGGTATTCAATGAAACCTATTTAAATATCATTGACCATTATAATGTATATGTACTACATTTGAATGGCTTGTGTAATTCCAGGGTGTGCAGTGCTCTCTAGTGGGGACTGGGATGATGTTGTGCCTGGAATGACCTTCAACAGCAACAGACTAGGGTTAGCTAATGAACAAACTGTTTAAGAACAGATAGTACATTCACATTTTAATTATTCACAGTTCCTAAATTCAGATCAAAAAGGAAATAGTTTACAAATCTAAAAAGTCCACATAAATGTAGGCTATTTTAGGACAGTGCGCTCAGGTCTTTTGCAGGTGAGCCGGGGTGAATGCCAAAGGCAAGAGCTCTCTTAGACTGGTCTTCTTATAGGTCCCGTCTGGCTTAGTGAGGTAAACGTCCCATTCAGTGCCAAACTAACACAACACATGGTTGGAGAGAATGATAAAATAAAATTAAGAGAGAAAGGCCATGAGGTTCAAAAGTAATGATTGATTAAGAGCACAGCCATACCTCCATTAATACCTGTCGACATGCACCACATGGTCCTACAAAACTATCTTTGATATCACTGTTGGTCAGATGGAAAGAAGGTAAATCAAATTCCTCAGTAATTCAAAAGGCAACAGTTCAGTATTTGGAATATATGATATACCATGTGACAGCTATGGCTGTAAATCTTCGGTATCCTTCAGCGACCGCTCTCTGTATCGCAGTTCTCTCCGCACACACGGTCAGGCCATAGGAGGCATTCTCAACATTACAGCCTAAAACAAATGATGGAGGTCTAGATCACTCTAACAGCATAATGTCATTAAGAGCTGAATATATGGCAGATAACATGTGGTTGAATCGTGTTGCTTCAAAACAAACACGAACAAGTGCATCTGGCGGTTACCTGTGATAATGGCGCCCCCTGTCGTCAAAATGGCAGCGCCGACTGGAAACCCACTGTACGGACAGTAAGCCATTTCCTGTGCTTGCAAGCATTTAGCAACTAGTTCCGCAACTTAACCAGAAACGTCGTTTACCCATAACAAAACAATAAAACGGGACAAAACAAAAGCGCATCAAAACACATATAATATTTATTTACATAAATATAATGCACCTTACCACATAATAAGGTTATGTATTAAGTACGAGGGATGCATTGTAAAACAGGTTACTCAGGTTACTTACACATGCTAAACATATCAACTCGGTAACGTGCATTAAATGCAAAGCCGCGTTAAATGGGTGTACATATGAAAAGCCTCATTCATTCATTTAAATGTGGCTATTTTACATGTAGGCTACTATTGGATTAAATGTTTACCTACCAGCCATAACAACTAACCGTCTCGCTGGACTAGAGTATAATGGTTTTCACAGCGTGTTTTAAAAAAAATATAAAGCAGTTTAGTGAACAATTGTTGTTGTTGACTTCCCAGGAATAATGATATTTCTGGGACGGGTGCTGTGACAGGACAACTGATGTTGATGATGCACGTGTTGTGGGCGGGGCAAACAACTCTAACAACCTATCAAAGACCTCCTTGCTAACAACCCTCCCATGAATTATTCAATCAGGTAACACTTTATTTCGATGGTCCACTTTAGACATTCTGTATTTATTTTTATGCTCCCCCAACCGACATTCTACTGACTAAGTAACTTTGCTACTACATGTCTAATTCTACTTACAGTAGAGTTAAAAAAAATAAAAATAATTATATATATATATATATATATATATATATATATATATATATATATATATATATATATATATATATAATTGATGACTTTTATTGTTTTTAATTGATGTATTTTGATAGTTACATTTTAAGTTATAGTGTAGCCTATACTTTCATGTAAAAAGGATATAAAGAAGTTAAAATGACAAAAAAAGAGAGAAGGTGCTTCGAAGTAGAGCAAGACATGGGTATCCTTTATAAAAGTCTGTGTTTTGATTGCTTAAAGGGATAGTTCACCCAAAAACGAAAATTCGGTCATAATTACTCACCCTCATGTCATTCTAAAACGATCGTTTTATATGATGAACAGATTGAATTAAAGTCTTTTATTCACATATAAACATTCATCAACTGAGAACCAATGAGGTTTATTCTCGTATTACACATCACGTTTGAGCTTCAGCAAGAGGTTGTTCTCGCGCGTCAAGCAGATTCGGCTGAGCTTGTTTATGTTCGCTGATCAATGTTTATATGTGAATAAAAGCCTAAATTAAATCTCTTCATAGATTTATCATATGAAGCGATCGTGTCTCTTCAGAAAATGTGTACGTTAGCCTACTAAACCACTCAACTTGAACAATTAACTTTTTAAGTGTCAAAGTGTCAGTTGCGTAGCTGTCAATGGAGCGACAGAAATCTCTCCGAATTCATTAAAAAGATCTTTATTTGTGTTGTGAAGATGAACGAAAGTCTTGCAGGTTTGGAACAACATGCGGGTGAGTAAATGATGACTGAATTTAAATTTTTGGACCAAATTTTGGAAAATTTGCAACACTCAAGCAATATTTAATTATTAAATAAAAACATCAAGATCTTTATTAATAAAACAACCACTATAAGAAAATCTCTTGTAACAAATGATTAAGATATATTAATAATACAGCACATTTTCAGAGAATTACAGGCCTGCATGTAAATTTTAACATGCCGTTCTATCAGTGCAGACAACATCAGTACAGTTGTACAAAATGGTGTACAAACAAAAGACAAACAGTATGGACACACAGAGAAAGCATATATTGTTGAACCAAAATGCAAACAGATACAGGGTTCTATGACAGTGGTTTCCAGTCCTGGTGGAGTCATTATTGGGAGGATATATGGAGTAAATCCAGTAGGTACCTGAAAGAACAACATGCGACCATCGTTTACTTTAGTTTCACTATTATTTATATTTTAAATATTTACTGGGCTGTCAATAACTATCTCTTTCCCTCACCAGCAATAAACCAGCACACAATGAATACACAGAGCATCAAGCTGAAGGCAGCGCAGAAGCGAGCCAGCGGACAGTCATCCAAAGTGTTCCTCAGGTACATGAGCAACAGTGCAAACAGACCGGTCGCCCCGATCACGGTCATATAGATGGGGAGCTTTGGTTGAACAGGGCACTCATGAAAATGGATTGTTCCTAGAAACATTTATCCAAACAGCCATATGACCGTGTAAAAATCAGACTTGCAGTGGTGCAATGAAACTTCTTCATTAAAATCAAGCATTTACAGCATTCCCGATTGTGATTTTACAATGAATTGTTGAGGAGATTAAACTAATCATCTTAACAATATATTTTACGTTGTAAATGAAAACTGCTCTTTACCTAATCCAGTAGCTGTTATTAAAATCATCCACGCAATCATGTTAATGATCACTGAAAAAAAATATGAAAAAAAATAATAGTTTTTATTTATTTATTGTAGCTTATTAGTTATTGGAAAAAACACATAGCTTTCTTGATATTCTTACCAATGAAAGATTTTCTGGCAGCTCTCTCGGTAGTCTCCATCTTTAACGATTTCTTAACCAGTCCATAGAAATGTGAACTATCTCTTATTAATTTGGCTCAGGCTGTCTGACCCCCAGAATGAGCTTCATCATGAAGACGTGAATAGGACTGAACGAGCTGCTCTGAGTCAACCAGTATGTTTTCACAGTTCTGTGGTCTCCAGACTTGCAAAGTATTTTTGAAACACTTCCTTTGGTGAAATGTTGAGAAACTGTTTTAGCCAACCCAAACTGAAACATAAAAACCACCTATTTTTGTGAGTGTGTTGACAAAATCTGAGTGTTTTGAGTATTATACACTGCAATTAACATATATATCTTATTCAGTAATTCTGTACCTTCAAGTCTAGGCCTTCATTTTGAACTAGATGGAAATACAGTATACAGATAATGTATAAAAAGGTGCTTTTCTGTGCACTGTACTGGTAGAAAACAGGATATATAATGCCAAGATCATGGGTTTGAGTTTTTGAGAACATATTGATAAAATGTACGAATAGTGCTTGATTTGAATAAAGCATCTGCCAAATCCAAAAACAGTAACACTTTACAATAAGGTTCATTATGTAACATTAGTTAACTACCTTAGTTAACATAAACTAAGAATTAACAATACCTCTAAAGCATTTATTAATCTTAATATTAACTTCATATAATTTCAATATTAAATTCAAAATTTGTATTTAGTTAATGCACTGTGAACTAACATGAACAAACAATGAACAGCTGGAGTTTTATGAACTAACATTAACAAAGATGAACAAATACTGTAACAAATCTATTGATCGTTGTTAGTTCATGTTAGTTAATACATTAACTAATGAACCTTATAAAATGTTACCATAAAACCATAATACTTTCCAAAGAAGTCTTATGCTTGTTGCTGAGAGTTTGAAGCCGATGATCTTTGACAAGGATTTTGTACGCAGATATAAAACACTGAAAACCCAATACAAAGCAACAGGACAGCCAGACAGCCATAGCAGACTGAGTTCAACCAGAATGCAAAGAGGTACAGAGTTTTGTTGCAGTAGTTCTGTTCATGTGTTGGGTCATAACTGGGACGATGAACAGAGTATATCCAGACACTCCCTGCAATACACAGAGAAAACATTTTTAGTTGAGCTATATATTTCTTTGATATCTGTGAAAATAACAGCAATGGCAATTTTATCCCAATATCTTCCTATTTAAGTTACATATTAAGCGAAAAATGTGTAGCCGCTATATATCCGCCAGATTTTTGTGACAACTCCAGATCGAACTTCCACATTTTTGTATTCCCCGCTCAATAGGCCCTATCCAAGATGGCACCCGAAACACTCACAAGCTGTGTTCGAAATCGCTCCCTATATCCTCATTCACTATTCCCTAAATTAGTCCACTAATATAGTTCACTTGAAGGAGTGAATGCAAACGAGTGAGTGAATTCGGACACTGAGAGCGAAGGAAGGGCTGCTGCTTTTGCATAGTTTATGCTTGCTGTTTAATTGAAACCTATGGAAGCTTATTTCCGCCACTGAATAAAATAAATAAATAAATAATTGTGACTTTTTATCTCACAATTGCGAGATATGAAGTCAGAATTGTGAGAAATAAAGTCGCAATTGCGAGATATAGAGTCGCAATTCTGAGAAATAAAGTCGCAATTGCGAGATATAAGTCGCAATTATGAGAAATAAAGTCGCAATTGCGAGATATAAGTCGCAATTATGAGAAATAAAGTCGCAATTGCGAGAAAAAAAGACAGAATTGAGACTTTTTATCTCACAATTCTGACTTTTTTTCTCACAATTGCGAGTTTACATCTCGCAATTCTGACTTTATAACACATAATTGCGAGTTTATATCTTGAAATTCTGACATCTTTTCTCAGAATTGTGAGATATAAACTCGCAATTGTGAGTTATCAGGCCAATTCTAAGGGGAAAAAAAGACTAACTTTTTTCCCCTCATAATATTTTATATCTCACAATTCTGACTTTAAAACACGCAATTTCGACTTATATCATATATTTCTGACTTTATAACACGCAATTGTGACTTTATATCAATCAATTCCGACTTTATATCTCGCAATTCTGACTTTATAACACGCAATTCTGAGAAATAAAGTCAGAATTGTGAGATAAAAGTCGCAATTACCTTTTTTATTTTTCATTCTGTGGCGGAAACAAGCTTCCATAGAAACCTAACAAACTGGCAGCTCCAGTAGTAATGAAAATATTTCTCTTGAACTCTCTGTCCCTTTAACTGTGACTTTGCAGCCCCACATTCTTCAACCTGTCACAACATTATAGCTTATATACCACAGCTTTAACTTTTATATCTCCAGAGAAAGTTTGACCCTTTCACGTACATTTCTCCATTGTTCTTTCTAAAAAAAAAATATCTGCACCCCTCCTGTGATTCCCATTTGACAAATTCACTCCCACTCACCTGCGATGAACCAGCAGACAACAAACAGGTAGAGGATGAAGCTGATGGAGATGACCAGCAGAGACAACAGCAGCATTTCAAAGGTGTCTTTTGCAAGCAGACCGTAGAACAAGCCTAGGGTCACTATCAGAACAAGCAAAACAAATACACCAAATACTATAAGGTAGACTGGGATGTGAGGCTGGACAGGACAGTCTCTCAGAAAGTAGGCCCCTAAAAAAAGTCAAACATAAAATTCTTCAGTCTTTGGAGCAGTGAGCAGTGTGTGTACAACAAAGTATGTGAATGTTTCTGTCAATATTACACTGGAATGCATTATTACAGTACGTCCACATTATTTGTTTACAATGTTTCTAGCAGAGATAACAGTGAATAATCAGGTAAAAATACATGATTTACCTATTCCAATTGCTGCAATTAAAACCCCCAGTAAAACAATAGTCAGTATCACTGAAAAATGAAAAGATTTCTCAGACAAGAATATGTTTACACAATTTGCCAAGTATACAATGAAACCAGGACATTTGGAAAACATATATATTAGCTTAACATAGATTTTTTTTTTAAAGTAACATTCTTAAAATGATTGTTAATACAATTCTTACCGAACAGTGATGTCAAAAATGGTGATGGCTTTGAATTTTCCATCCTCAGAATATCATTGTTGATGAATATGCACAATGACTGCTTTAAGTTTAGAAAGAAGTAAAATAAGACAACGTAAAAGCGTATAAGACATTAAACAATGCGGAGTACATGGATCTAAGGACTAGTAAGATTTAGGAGTCTCACAGGAAAGCTTCCTCTTGCGTCTCTTATGACGATTAAAACAACCTGTGTAGTGTGCTCTAGTGTTCACCTCATAACTTTAAAAAGAAAAATTCTTCTGTTATCCGTCTTATTGACAGTAATTTCCAACATTTCCTAACTGACTCAGTCTAACTCTGGCGTAATGTTGGTACGGCATCATGTGCAACCATGTTTCCGCCGTGGGCCACACCTTTCTGAAGTGCTCATTTAAATGCAAAGGAAATATTTCATTTCTCACTGCTTAACCAAAACAATTTCGATCAATGTATTATTGCAGTTTACTATAAAAACAGCACCTCGAGACAATCTTTCCTAAAACCAGCAACGGAAATAACAACACATTGCACAACATTGGGGTTCAGTAAGATTTTTTATTTTTAAAGGAATTCTTTTACTCAGCAAGAACACGTTAAATTGATCATAAGTGACAGTAAAGACATAGCCTTATGTTACAAACAGGTCTATTAAAAATCTTACTAACCCCAAACATTTGAACGGAAGTGTAAGTCTTCTTTTCCATCGTGACAACATTTTTCAAGTCTATTCTTCTGCTTTCTCCTCAGTATTTAAGAAATGACATTTCCAGTGGGAAGCGCATGTCTACATCTTGCATATGCCACAATATTGTCTTATGATGAAGCTTACTAAACTTCAAATTAAATAATGTTTAAGTTTACATTTATAGTAATGAAGGTTGATCGTTATCAGTTTTACAGTTTTAATTTTAGATGTGATTTTTAGCCTTAAGTTATGTCCATCACTGTTAATCTCTCAAGTAGATTATAGCCAATTATAATTGGGTGGCTTTATTATAGGCCTACAGTTAAGACCAAAAAAAATATGTTTAGATGAAATGTTGTACATTTATCTCTCTTTGAATATAAAAAAACAACATGTAGCCTAGCAAAGGAAATAATTTGCTAAACTGTGTAGCAAAAGACTAAGAAGGCTGTCATGTCACAGCCTGAACGCCAGAGGTCATTGTCTCCTTGTATATTGAACTGTTTCTCACTCTCCATTGAGTTCACTTGTTATTTATTCCCTGTTCGTAATGCAGTTCTGTGCAATTATGTTAATTTTTTTCTGGTTTGATAATGTCAGGTGGGTGAGTGACTGGATTCTTTTATGAAAATAAAGCTCTGCACATGAGTCATAACTGTTGAACTGAGACTGCAATGCACACATTTTTTACATTTGTTTTCTTAACCACTCTCTCTGATTATTTCCATGTTATTTTTGTAAAATTGGACAGAATAATAAAAAACACGTTCTGCATGGGTGGCTAAAATATAGTGTTTTATAAAGATGATGTTACTCGGTTGAAACTAATAGCTCAAAGAATATTCTGTTTCAAAATAGTTAAGGTATTAAGAAAATTTTATTTGAGATTATTATTATTATTTAAAATCTCCATACATTTGTAAGCAAGAATTTTTTTTTTTTACTTCAAATACAATTAAATGTTTGTTTTAAATGTGTTTACCTAATACACAAAGTTCAGTTGAGTTTATCCTCCAAACCATCAAGAACACTGTCATCAATATCCATTAAAGGTGCAGTAAGCAATTTCTGAGAAAGTGGCTCGGACCGAGCAGCACAACACACTTAGCCAATCAGCAGTATGGGACGTGTCCACTCATGATGGGGGAGGAGAGAGAGTGAGCCAATCTCCAGTAGGGGACGTGTCCACTCATGATGGGAGGGGAGAGAGAGTGAGCCAATCAGCAGTAGGGGGCGTGTCCACTCATGATGGGGGAGGAGAGAGAGAGCAGAAGGAGATTTGAAGAAAGACTGTAGAAAGAGAGATGCTGAGAGACATTACAAAAGAGGAAAGCTTAGAGTAATATCAAAAGAAGGGTTATGATCAGGCAAGAGCTTTAGGATCCGCTTTAATATTAGAAAAGCTTTCCAGCGCTGGAGAGACCGAAGCGGGAAGACCTGAAAAAGGACGCAGAGGTTGCATTGTTTCTGCTCCATACGTCAGTAACATTGCTTTTGCTGTTTCACAGAAGATATACTGTTGTTGTAATGTTAGCTATAGAAACAGGACAGTTTTGAGTGTCACTGTTTGTCTGGAGCTGATGTTGGCGACTAACAAACAACTCTTCAACTCGTTCATTCGTCATCTTTGCCTAATTTTTCACAAAGCATAGCGTCTGGGAATGCGTACATTTGGGCCCAGGGCTGACTTGCTACGCCACTGTCGCAAAGCATTATTTTGCTTAGCTTCAGCTATGAGAAAGAGGCATCCACTCTTACATTGCGTGTTTATGGATTTTGGGTGCGGAGGAATGAAGGGAGGGGTGTGTTTGTTTGTTTGGGCTAATTTCAAATATCAACAGTGTTTCTCAGAAATCGCTTACTGTACCTTAAAGATGACCCACAGCGCTTTTGCTAATGTTTTCCACAAATGCGAGTACAGATAAGAAAACAGCATCCGAGGAACAGCGCCACAGCTAACAGAATGTATCCCAGAGTGGTGGTCCAGAATGCAAACAAGTAGAGGGTCTTATTACAGTAGGGATCTCCACCCACGGTTTGGTTGTAGTTAGGAGGGTAAATAGAGTAAATCCACACACTGCCTGTAAAAAAAAATATATATATATATATATATTTCAGAAATATAAATTATTATAGATTAAGATTTGATAACATTGGCTATTTGACGAAACAGGCTTCACTGATCCTGTTACTTCTCTGTTTAACATAATTTATTTTAGATTATGATTTTATGAAGTCGGCGTCATCTGTTACTATAATACTGTGAAGATGCTTTGAAACAATCGCAGTTGTATAAAGAACAATAAATAAAGGCAGCCTGACTGTTTACAATTTGAACTTTAAAAAAAAACATTGATTCACATATTTTTTAGCTTTAATAATTACTCACGGCAAAGTTCTTTTCAAGTCAAAAAAAGTTGGAAATACTTTTGCAGCGATATACTGTTAACAAACATCCACACTGCTGAGAGCGACGTTTAGATGAATATGTAAATATGTGCTGTGATATATCAATAACAAAAACGCACAACAAAAGTGACAGTGGTGAGAAAACAGCAGTTAAGAAAGCATCTGATCGTAGCGATGTGGATATGTTTGCATCAGATCTGCAATTCACCGGCATCATGACAATATATTTAACACATGAGAGTTTGATTATCTGAAGATTGAGACTATAGACTGTATAGATCTGATATTGTGAGACTATAGTTTGAATTAATCATTTTTCTTTGAATGACACATTGATATTACTGTACAGAATGGCTCTCTCTGCATCATCCCAAACATTGTATAAGCATTCGCTTCATGTGTCATTGAAACGGAAGAAAGGCACTCGCGTAAACGTCACATCCTTTTGATTTTCCTGGCCAAACGATTAAGACATGAACATTCTTACATATAGCCCCTTTAAGTTAATGAATGTTAATTGTTAAAGACTTTAGTTGTTAAAGTAAAAATTCCAATTTATAAAAAAACACCACAAACACAATATTGTTTGTTTCAAAAGAGCAAACCTGTACAATTTTTTTTTCTTCTTCTAAAATTCAAGTGCAAAGTTCAAATTCAAATATCGTTTTTTTAGTTACATAGCAAACACAGAGATATTTTACAGAACAGAAGTTCATATTCACACCCAAATTTCAGGCAGACCCACACATAAAAGCACATTGAAAGTGTTTTCCATTCACAGAATTCAAATGAAAATCTGTTTGTTTGGCAAGTGTCTTTGAATTTGGGTTAACTGAACAATGCACAGAAGCTTTCAGAGACCTATGAACACATTAAATGACCTCTTCCTCCCACATACGCCACCCAATCTTACCACTGATCAACCAGCAGAACAAGAAGAAAGAAACCAGAGCGTTCCACACAGAGCAGATGCGGCTGAGTGAAGTGGGATTTCCCTCCTCCGTCTCTCTGGAGCAGGGAAGACAAGACAGCAAGGCCAGAAACACACTAAACACTCCACATACCAGCACATAGACTGGGATATAGTGCTGCTGGGGACAGTCTTTGAGATAAACGGCACCTGTGGTGATATAGGCAACACAACAGCACCTTAAATAACTGAAGGTATAGGAAAGGAATAAACACAGTACTCACATTCACTGCAACGCACCTATTGCAATTTGAGCAAAGGGAATACCCAGTAAGAGTAGTTTTGAAATCACTGAAATACAAATCAGTCCAAAATTAGCTAGAGTCAGTATACTTGATGTTCATTAAGTGCAGAAGTAACAATTGTTTAGGGAGTAAAACTCTCATACCAAGGGAAGATGTACTAGCTTTCGAAGGAGATTTCATGTAATTCCACATTTTATTTGGATCCATGGTTCCTATGCAAAGCATACAACATCACAACCCAAAATTAGCTGTCTGTGAAAGCAGTTAATAAATCATTATTCCCTAATGACTTTAAGAAATGAATTTGTATGATCATCTATCTGTTTTCTTAACAAAATTTACATCAAGTGTAAACATAATATTGGTTTGAGTTAGTATTGAGTATTGTACAGTACAATACAGTATTGATCAATTTAATTCCACTACATTAACAATATGTGATTTTGTGAGTCTGTAAATAATACACTCACTATAGTACCTCTCACACACTTTGCTCAAAAATGCTTACCTGAAATGCTTGTTCTGGTTCTGGAAAGTCTTTACCCGACACACTCTGGGATTAGAAACAACCTGAAATGATTCCTCATGCATGGGGTTTTATACTCTCTGTTTTAGAAGGTTTCAACATCCTTTTACATTTTTTTTTTTTTTTTTACAGTTGTAACATTTCAAGATAAACTGGTTCTTGCTGTGTGAACAAAATGACAAACATGACAAGCATTATGCTGAAATGTATTCAATAGCTGTTTTCTTCTTCGTCCGTTCCCCTATTATGCAGTGTGCCCCAATTGTCCATTCAGGGCCCTCTTCTCTTTTCACTTTAT